GCCCAGACAGGCAGCCCTCTGTCCCTGTCCCGGTGTTACAGTGAGGCCATTCAGTCCTCGGGACCCAGAAGATAACATGGCACGCTCACTGAATCGCTTTCTATTTACTCTCCCATTTTGTTCCATCATTAAACGGTGTTAGAGTTGAGAATTAGGACTCTCTTTGCTGGCCAAAAGAAAACACAAGTGGCTTGTGGACTGAAAGATTGGCTCACACAGATCCTTCCAGAGGAGGAGAAAACCCTGGCCGTGCGTCTGCAGAAAGGAGCTGGTGCCTGTGCCCAGCGTCCCCTCCCGCACCGGCTCCGTGCCCGGAGGACATCGTAAATCACTCGTAATTTATGATGAGCCCAGTCGTGTGTTACACCCTGCGAGCTGGCTGGGGTCCTGTGCACACTATGACCACCTTCTCCGGAGCATACAGGACTTTTTCAGATGAGCCCTAGGACAGAGAGCCGAGGCTTTCCCCTTGGCTGGCCCAGCCGCCGAGCGAGGGAAGGAGACAGAAGACGCTTGTTCTTCGAGTTCTGCCACAGGCCTCACTTGCTTTCTCCTGGAAGGGAGGTAGGGAAAGGGCAGGAACCAGGACATTTGCATTATTAGCCTATTTTCTTTTATTCATGTATTCAGCAAATACACATATTTTCTGAGTGCCAACACCCTGCAGGGCACTGCTGGGAACACAGCAGTCAACAAAGAGGGTTTTGATTCTCATCGAGACTACATTGCCACCAAGTAGTAGGTCCTATGTGAGGAGGTGATGACATATTTTGCAGGGTAAGAAGATGGATAAGGGCAGGAAGGGGAACAGGCTATTCCACAACAGACTGCAGAAAATGGATTTCTAATAAGGGGACCTTTGAGCAGAGACTTGAAGAAAGTGATAGAGTCAGCCATACGTGTTCTGGGGAAATTGTATCCCAGGTAAGGACAGAGGCACCCCAGGGGCATGTTTTAGGCGAGAAGCAGCCCAGTGGGGGGCCAGGGGGGCTGGAGACCAGAGAGCCAGGAGGGAGTGGTTAGGAGAGGAGACACATCCCGAGGACTAGCCTGGGGCTCATTAGAGACCATGCCAAATATTATTGAGAGCTGAGATACTGAAAGTGAGATGGACCAGCCTTTGGAAGTTTTGGGAAGGTTGATCCTTCTCATATACTTGAACAACCAGAGTCTGAGCATGAAGTTAGGAAAATGGGGACCACACATCACACCCTTTGTGTCTCTGAGAAGGAGAACGTGTGCTGTTGTAACCAGGATTGGACTGTCAGGACTTGACCCAGTGCAGGGTGTGAAACAGAAACCCTGGTTTTGCTTGATCTAGGTCTAAAACTCACGCATGCTTTTTAAATTGGGGAGAAAGTGAGTCATCATCAGCCATTTACTCAACTGGTGGGGATTCTTTTCATGCACAGACCCAGCCACACATCCAGGGCTGAGCGTCCTGCGGTCTCTTCTCCACCAGTACCGTGGTTATGCTACAGCTGAGGAAGTCCTGGTACTAGAATCCAGGTCTCCCGACAACCACTGTGTGTTTTCGGCCACTTTAGAGAAGCAGCAACATTAACTTACAACGATTAGCGTGAGCTTCAGAGTCAGAGAGCAGACTGGGATACTGGGGACCAGGTCCTAGGAGGCTTCGGTAACCCGCTTCGCTCTCAGTGACCACGGGGCTAACTCGGGCTGCCTTTCCCGCACAGGTGACTTAGTCTAGTCTGGAGCTGTGGGGAGCGTGGGCTTGAGTAGGGCGGATTTCGACTCCTTATGAGGAATATCTTTCTGAAAAGGAGGGTGGTGGATAGCTAGAGAGGACCATGCCTTAGAGCCCATCCTGAGTCTAAATGCGGGCAAGCAGGCGAGCCCATCTCAGGGATGTTCCCAGAGTGCTTTGCGTGGCCCGTTGGACTAGAATGAACTCTCAGATTCATTCCGATGCAAAACCCTTCTGCGCCTATGAAAAGTGTTCCGTGAATGTGCTCTGCAAACATACAGACACTATACAAACAGGAGGCAAATATTTTAGAAGATGAAGAGAGCAATACTTGTTCTTCTGGGGGAGCGGTGGCTGGGACGGAGAGCCCTGACCGCATACCTTCCTCGCTCAGCGCCTGCAGTGTGTTCCCCTTGGCCCCAGCACAGCTCTCTGCTTTATGTGTTAAAAATGTGCTCAGCCCAAGACCAAACAAATAGCCGAAGGCATTTTCCTATCAGGGCCCGTTGGTAGGAGGCAGAGCCAAGGAACAAAGCTGTCGGTTTTGAGTCTTGGCAGGAAGCCAAGCTGCGGCTTCAAAGCTCCAGGATTTACAAGGAAGAAAGAGGAGGGATTTTTAGCTGAAGCGAAGTTAGAATTAAAGCAACAGAAAACTTAAAGCTAAAATTAAAGTGTGCCCTGGCAGCCATGATGGAAAGGCAGCATGTTCTGGGCCCTCCTGTGATGTTTCAGAGCGAGGATGAAAACTCTGCAAGGTGCTTACAGCAGAGATGACAGAATGGCCTTGATTGACAATACACGATCACACGGCGTTTGGGCTGGGTGAGTTGTCCTTGAGGGGTCATCGAGTCTCCTCGCTCGGTTCGCAGATGACGGGTCAGCAGCCCTGGGACTTGAAGACACTGCCCGGTGTCACACAGCCAGTGGTGGGAGTCTTGGTAGTCCTAGAATCCAGGACTCCTGAAAACCATTTGGTGTTTTCGGCCACTTTACAGAAGCGGCAAATGATGGAAGTTGTTTATGAAGAGCGAGGGGCAGGCAGCCCTAGTGATTGTATTCCGCATCGCACTGCACTTGGTTTCCCAGGGTTTGGCCCGATCCCCAGGCCCAGGTTGCCACCTGCATCCTCAGACTTAGCAGCACAGCTGGGGGCCTCGGTCCCCACCCCAGCAGTAGGAGTTGAGACCCAGCGGTAAAAGGCCTTCAGAGCCTGCCTCCCCTCAGGGCCCCAGGCAAGCATGAATTGGTGTGTATTACTCTCCAGTACTCTCTCTCTAAAATCAATAAACAAAATTTTTTTAAAAAAGAAAAGAAATCACCAGCATTTCAGTGAGCTGTTGTTACTTCCTTCAGGAAAGGAAGGTGGAGCTTGGGGGGGGGGGGTAACCTAAAGGGAGAGGGAACAGTTCTCTGTGTGCCTCCATTTGAACCAATAAGATGTTAATTATCTTTTTTTTTTCACTATTCCTTCATTCACTTATCCATGCATTTTCTTGTTGGATTACATTCTGATTCTACCCAGAAAAAGTCTGACAAAACCTAGAACAAAGAGTGTGTCTGCAGTCAACAGAATATAAATGAAGTCAGGTCCCCGATGAGGGGCAATGGGTTTCACCCATGAGTTGTGCTACGAAATCTGTGTTAAATATCAACTTTTACTCTGGCTTTTCTGGCAGCCAGGTTAAAAAAGAAATACGCAAATCCTAGTTATCAGAAAGGGGGAAAAATTCCAATTTCTTCAAGAGAGAACAAGTGCTGCTATTCTGGGGCTCCTGACGTTACTAAGCACTCGATGAGGACTTTCCGGTGCTTGGTACAAAGCTCCCAGCCCAAGAACACTCCCCGCTGTCCCATCTCTTCCGTGTCCTTGCTTCAGGCCACCTGGAGCACTGCTCCCACCCCCCGAAAAAACATGTTCTTAGTGTTAACATTGGCTCTGATTGCATGTGTCAGGGCAGGGCTTAGGCTAATGGGGCTTAGTTTGGGTCATGAAATTGTTGTCCAGGGTGTCTCTAGAATTTGCAGATTACAAGGACAAGAGTGGGAACCGTAGGGGTGAGGGGTCAGCATCTAGTCCTGCTGTGGCTGCCCAGTCTCCACCAATGCGCCTGTCCTTGCCACAGAGAGCCAGCCCTTCACCCCCTCTCTAGCCTTTTTTTTGCTACGTCAAGGCACTTTTTTGAACCGGGCACCTGGAGGGAAGAGAGTTCTGTGGAATACACTTGGGGGGATGTTGGCTTGAAGGATTAGTAGATGGCACGACCATGTATTAATTTTACACACCTTCTTGGCCCCTGGGAGTGGGGAGTGGAGTTTACGGGCAGATGCCGTGTGGGTTAGGAACTAAGACCATCCAGGGGCAAGGGGACACTGAAGGGGCTGGCGCTGAGTTCCTGGCTCCCTTCCGAGCTTGCAACCGGAACTTAGGTTCTTCCAGAAGAAGAAAGAAACAAAATTGAAATTTCCATCCTTTCACATGATCTGACTCCATCCTTCTAAGACGTGGGATGCGTCAGAGGATATAGGAACGCTCTAGACCAGTGGTTCTCAACCTTCCTAATGCCGTGACCCTTTAATACAGCTCCCCGTGTTGTATGTGGGCGTGTCTGCCTGTGGGCGGACCCGCCTGGAGCCTGGAGACAGACAGAGGAGCGGTGTCTTGGTTCCTAAGACCATCAGAAATATGTGTTTTCCAGTGGTCTTAGGTGACCCCTGTGAAAGGATCGTTCGACCCCCAAAGGGGTCACAACCCCGAGAACCGCTGCTCTAGACTTTGAGGATGGCAAGGGAAATGGTTACATAAATCTGATGTTGAACCTTTGTAATAGCTCTTGCGAGAGAGAAAACCCTGAAAAAGCAGCTTATCTTCTCTCTGAGTCACCTGACTATTTACTGAAAGTTTATTTGGTGTCGTTTTTCACTGTAAACATATATATTCTCTACATACATTGCATATTCCATAGAAACCTATGTTTTAGAATGCATCATTACTAAAGGAAGAAATATTTGAAAGTGAGCCGTAGTAGAGATGAAATAATCGGTCTGGATTCTTGGCCCATCACCATCGTTGGAGCGATCGGGTGCCGTGTCTGGGTCCCAGACCATGGGCCGTGGCCATTGCCTTTGTCCTAATTACACTGACTCCAATCGCATGTTTTGCTGGACAAGCGAGAAACACGGGGGCTCCAGTCCTCAAGTGAACAGAACGAATGTGTCGACTCTGCTTGGAATGTTGTTCATAGTTATTTTAAGCAATGCCTTGATTCTTACCTGTGCTTATTCTTTTTAAAAGTATTGGAAAGGAAGATATCCACGAGACAAAGTAGAGAGGAGCTGATAAGAAGGGGAGTTCTTAAGGAGTTGCCTGATCAAGGTGAGGAAATTAATCATACCTTTCAAATAACTTGATCCTTCGTTCTTTGGTCTTTCATTTTCTGTTGGAACTTGAGATGATCGTGGTCTTGGGCGATGACGCAGTGCGTGCCGCTCCCAGAGAATCTAAGGTCTTCTAGGAAAGAAATTCAGTGACCGTTTTGGTGAGTCCTACAAAGGTCCACCGTAGCTGGATATACAGCTAAGATACAAATGCTTAAACGACTGCTTCGCATCTCTGTTCTTGAGCTTCAGTCTTGCCACACAAGTTAACTCAATTGTTTGCATAAATGCTGAGTTTTAGCTTGGCTCATGACTGGTTTCCTAAGTCGAGCAGTAAAAGAAAAGAGATGATAAACACACCTCTCTTGTCCTTTATAAGGCACTCAAATGGACAATCAGTAAAGCATGAATGGGCAGATTCGATTAATTTGCTTTATCATTCTCTCAAATAGTTTTCCCAGTGTTTTCTCTTCTTTAGATCTATGTCTCTCACCTTTTCACTAACAGTTATTTCCAAGTTGTTTTTTCCTACCTCTATGTGTTTCCCTTTTCCCCCTCTGTCTTTCCAAGGAGGAAATCTTACTAAAAAAGACAAGGATTCGATGAAAGCGGAGACCCTCACAAGAAGGTTATTTCTCCAAGTAAATAGTACCGAGTAATTTTTATTGCTCCCACTACTATTGAAACAAAAGAACATTTTTGTTGCAACATTGTTGATTTACGTCCTGCCTTCCCCCACCCAACCCCCTGAACATTTACGGGGATAAATTATTATTATCATACTATTATGAGAACAAATAAAAAGCTATTAAATTGGAATTGAAGTAATAGTACGTTCCTTGCAAAGAACTGAACATCTTTGGCATTCACTATAAATCCAACTGACATGCTTTTTCCAACGTCTGAATAATCTGGTAGAGCTAGGAAATGCTTTACTATTTACTATTTTACTCCTTCTTCAAAGAAAACAGAGAAGTCTGAAGTGAATACTACTTTTTTTTTTTTTTTTTTTTTTGAGCCCTCACAATTTTAGGTATTTTACTTTGATTTCTGGCCTCTTACACTTTTTTCACTCCATCTTATGAATGAATTTTGTCTTCCCTAATTTTCTATTACTTTGAAGCCATTTACTTTCTGCTTGGGATTTTTAAAAGTAAAAAGTACACATCCCTATTCCCCCCCCCCCCCTTTAAGGTCAGCTTTCAGTATCAAACTGTCTCCTCTCTTATCTCTCTGGAGGGAGGAGAAAAGTTACAGATTCACTGACCACTGAATGATGTACCATCACCTCTGTTTACATATTTTAGAGAAGGGGAGAAAAAGGGTATGATTGAAACCGTTAATGAATATTAAAGATAGAGAATAAAGTCCCCTTTTTATCCAATTAAAAATTGTAGCTAGGAAAGAGTTTACTTTTTCTAAAAACAAGTGGCAATTATCAATCTAAAGAAATGCTTTGTATTACTTTGTTTTTATTCCTCCTAACGTGTTATATGATTTGCATGATGGATTATTATACTTTTCCTATACTTAAGTCCCCCCCAAAATCTGATCTCTTTGACCTTTTTGTTTAACTTTTACAGATTGAACATTAAAAGTTTTAAAACACGGAAGAACAAAACAGTTCTTAACCCAAACCTAATGTAATAGGTTTTAAAGTTTGGGAAGTCATAAATTACTGAATTTTTCTTTCCACCTTTTGCGTGATTCCTGTATACTAGGATAGAAATTACCTAATACTTGGACGTTCCCCGTGATGCCTATTGGAAACAGAGTCTTTCCCCTTTTTCTGCTAACAGCTGGATAAAATAGATTTCTGTCATTTTTTTTATAAACAAGTATCTTGAGAATTTCAGTCTGTTTGCAGCTCTAGCCAGAGACTGGGAGCTGCTGTGCTTGGTAACAACCTGCTCCCTTCTGCTGGTGAGGATTCGCTCTTTGCCTCGTCCCTCTTGAGCTCGCCTTGGGTCTTGACAGTGCTGGTCCGTCATGCGGTTTATTCACCGAGCCAGAGACACTGTAAATCTCTCCAGCTGAGTTTGACCTTGGCCTGTCCCACTCCTTCCCCTCCCTCTTAGCTTTTGTTACTATTCCTTTTTAATTATCTATTTTACACCAAGGTCTAACTTCAATCTAAAAAAGTTCAGCGATCGGTCTTCTCTCCTGAGAAGTTCACGGTCTAGTCCAAGCCCCGTCCTCACGCTTTGGTCTTTCCTTCCGTCTTTTCCCTTGGCTCTGACATGAGGGCACGTGGATGTTTCTGCCTGCCAGCCGGCCTCCTCCCCTCTTCTCTCCTGGGGTGCTTCCTAACCTTCTGAAGACTCGCTCACCTTGTCCAGACGTGATTTTCTCCTGGCCTCTGTTCCTACATGAACTGTCTCTCACGTACACTTATTGACCAGAGAGAGGCAACGCCCGCAACGCCTGCAGGCTCCTCACTTGACCACTTACTTCTGTGTGTGCTCTATTTTTAGCTCTCGGTGCACTTGAATGGCCAGCTCTTTCCTGGGTTTTCTCTGTCCTTTGGGTACAAAGGCTCCTCTGTGACTTGGCCTCTGACTGTAACTTGCCGACTAGCTCAGCATCTTCTTTTGCTAAACTTCTATTTTGCTTACATACATAATCTATATTGAGGATTTAACTTATTTTAATTCCAGAAGGATATACAAAACTAGAACACCTTCTCAGTCACACAGTAGTTGTTAGTACCTTCAGTTCTCTGTTTTAGTCTTAATTTCTGCATGTATCACAGACTTGTGGCTTTTTCTAGCTTTTTGAATAAGTACTGGCTTTATTTCATATCTCAAAGTAAGTATCCCTTCGCATTGTCAACTATCTCTATTATGTGATAAGTCAATTTCTTCTTGTAATAATAACTAAGAATCTATTGGTCTCTTTTTGGTTTGACATATACTCTTGAAAAATGTATTACTTTAATTTTATTGAAGTAGTTAAGATTTACTAGCAATGGTATAGCCTTCAATTATTGTCTGTTTTATTTTTATATATGAGTCAGATTAGAGGTGCTTGGAAGCTATGTGACTAAGCAACAACTGCTTTTGCATTTTGAACATGATATAATTTTATATGTAATTTCACTTCTTTTTGATTTTCACCTGAGTATATTTTTCTATTGCTCTTCAGAGAGAGTGGGAGGAAGGGAGAGAGAGGATTGAGAGAGAAAAAGAGAGAGAGAGAGAGAGAAACATCAATGTGAGAGATACACATTGATTGACTGCCTCCCACATGACCCTGAGCAAGGCTGGGGATTGACCTCACAACCGAGGTACGTGCCCTTGACCGGGAGTTGATCCTGTGACTCTTCAGTCCATAGGCTGATGCTCTAACTTCTGAGCCAAACTGGCCAGGGCTGTATTTTTACTTATTAAAATGTCATGCTTGTTTTTATCAATAAGGCCCATAGATTTATTGTGGAGCCAAAACCATTCACTCATTTTTAATGAAAATTTGGAAGATGGTCTCTATTTTATAATGGTCACAAAAAGAAGGTTAATCCAAATTGTGTAAATCAGGTGTAATTATGCAATTCTTCAAGTTTTCTAGGTAAGAACTTCAGTTCATTAATTTTTCCTTTACAATGGTAGTGAAACCTCTTACATTTTTCCGGGTATGAACAAGGGTTAACTTTTCCAAGCATTTTGGTTGCCGAATTAAGAGTTTCTGCAAAATCTCTTTCACGTTAGAAACTCCAGGGGTTAAAATTGGTTCTTTATCATTTAGGTGTCATGTTGGAAATATTATTTTCAGTTGTGATTTCTAAAAATTCTTCTGTAGTTACTTTTTTTCCACATTTCCCCCCCTAATGTTTTCAAATTATTATTAGACCAACTTAAAGACTCTTCGATTAGTTATATATAACAAGTTATGTGAGTTCATGTTAATATTTTCATAAATAAGAAAATGAAAATACAATTAGCCTTGCTACCATCATCCTTGAATGTAGAAGAATCACTATATTACTGCGTAAAGTTAACATCACGGAGGTGATTGTCTGGAGATGGTGGTGCTGGGAAAATGTCATATCCTCCCACTAATTGTTTGTATGTGTAATTACATTTCATGTTACTTGTGTATTTGTATTCACACTGTGTTTTTTTTGGTGCTTGTTAAAATGTTTATTCCATTTTTCAGGTTACACCTTTTAGGTTCAGTTTCTGAATGACAAAGAGACTCCTAGTGTTGACTTCAACTAAACCTAAGCACAAGAAGAAAGGGACTCTGCTGCCCGGGGATATTTTATAACCAGGATAATCATCCCTACTGCCTTGAAGTGGCACCTGGATGCCCCCTCTTTGGCTGCTTTCCCCCAACACTAAGGATTTTCTAGTTCTTTCATTTGAATGAATTATTTAGTAAAACATGGTGAAATAGTACAGGATGTATTTGGTTCCCAGGGCCTGAAACCTGAACCCTACAGCCCTAGTAACTGGAAAACTGGGTTTTAAGAAAGCCATCAGGTTAGACATCTAGGTGTTTCTTTCCCTATTTTAGATGGAGATGTAACAGTTAACTTTGAAAATTCAAACGGGCACATGATACCCATCGGAGAGGAATCTACCCGAGAGGAGACTGTAGTAAAATCTGAAGAAAGTAATGTCTCTGTAGCTGAAAAAGCGCCACCTGTGGAGGAAAAGGCAGAAGATAAGAAAGGTAAAACCAGGAGAAACCCCTTCTTTCCCTCCCCACAGCTCCATGTCGAGAACCGGGGCTTAGACTCCAGAGAGTGACCTCAGGACCAGTAGAGAGGAAATTTGCAGACACAAGAGGAGAACAATGATAACTAGTGAAGAGAAGTTGGATAATTGCCTCAAGAAGATGCATCCATTTCATAAGCACATCATTTAATTTTTTATGAAAGGGGGCTAATTACTGGGAAGAATTAGATGGGATGGCCTCTTCAGTCACTAGAGATGTCTGGGAATATTATCTTTTCCTCAGGGGCTTTTTCTCAGTATCTTCTTTGAAAACAAAAATGCCAGCAGTCAGAACACCTTTCTCTGCTGGTTAGAAGTGGCCCCTGTGAGCAGCTCAGCTCGGGGGAATGTCAAACTCCTTCTGCCCAGCGCTGACTCTCTAGCCGTAGGAGCTTGGCAGGTGCACCTGTGCACACCCCCAACACTGGAGGTTCTAGTCCAGGTTCTAGACATTTCAGAGATTCAGGAAGAGTCCCCAGAGATGCCTGGGGTTTGGGTTGCTGTACTGGCCATAGGCTCTGCCCAGTGATTTGTCTGTGCAATTGGAAATTTCAAAATATGCCATGTCCTGAAGGCTTCGTTCGAGACCTCACTTTCTGGAGTGACTCGATTATGGTAGGTTGCAAAGCTGCAAAATCCATGTCTATGAGGGACCCCTAGCACACTCACAAGTTCCTGTCAGGGGCGGGTCACCTCCATACCACTGCTGTGACAGGCAGGCACCTCCAAGCCTCACACGTATGCAAACTTGAACTAAAATGCCCACAAAGTAAGGCTTTGTTGGGTGGTTCTGGATGGTTCCACGCAGCATGAAAATGAACCCTCAGGAAATGGGCTAGTTCCTTTTCTATAATGTCTGCCTCTGAGTTGGTGAATGGCAAAAATTTGTCAAACCTAGTTTAGGTTCTGAAGGCATTTGGGGAACTCTTAGAATCTACTGGAAGCAAACTTCTTTCTGTTCTTGATCCAAGTCCTTCAAGGACACAGAGAACAAAAGAGAAACTTACACACAGTGTAACTCAAAATCATCTACTCTGGGAGTCCACGACCCCTATTGTTTGCATGTAAATTAGCCCTTAAAATTTTAGAAGCCTCTATGAATAATCGGTTAGAAGTGTATTATTTTGCTTTTTTCAATCTTAAGTACAGTATGGGGCTTTTATTGAGTCTTGTTTCATTGAAAGACTCTGGTTAAGCTTCTGAATACTGATTATGAGAAATTAACTAGTATTTTTCATGATACTCTTCCTGGGACATAAAGAGAAACAGACCTAAATAGATTTTAAGGGGTTCAGTTGAAAGTGTTAACGCAAGTAGTGATTTCTTTTATTTTTATTTTTTTTATTCCAATATTTTTATTTTTTTTATGTCCTGTTTCACCAAACTGTTCCATTTCAAACCCATCTGTGGTTGCCGGTGCACAGCCTTGGCTCACTGAAGAATCACCTCCTTCTAGGTGGCAGCACCATCTCCACTGTCGCCGGGGCCGTGTGGGGTGGCAGTCAGCGCACCGGCCACACTGCAGAGGAGTGCGTCCCTTATCAATCTAAGACAAAGTCGCTGACAGCTTTGGGTTCGTTAAACCAGCAGGCCTTGATGTTCTGAAAGGGGGTGGCAGGCCTCACAGGTCCATGGGTATTTGAAAGGTGTTTTTGTTTTCTTATTCTTTACTCAGAATTAGTACATTCAGTTCCTTTGGGTCAGATAAGGTCCAAGATAGCACTTTGCTTGGCTAGTTTGTCTATAAGGAGGTGAAATGCTGGCCATGCCGTCACACCACTCGTTGGACACGTCGCCTCCCTCTCCTGTGCGGCTGGCGCCCCCCGCAGAGCCCTCCGAGAGTGAGAGAAGGCATTCAGTACGGAAGCCACTTCTGGGGAGTACAGTGACTGCCACTCACAGCTCACGTGAAGATCCCATTTACTTTAATGTAATTTTATTTTATTTTATCCTCACCTGAGGACACTTTTCCATATTTTGTTTAGATAGAGTGGGAGGGAGAGAGAGAGAGAAACATCGACCTGAAAGGGACACATCGAGTGGCTGCCACCCGCACGACCCAACCAGGGCCGGGGACAAACCGCAGCCGAGGTACATGCCCTTAGTGGGAACCGAACCCGGGTCTCTCTGGACCGCAGGCTGATGATCTAACCGCTAAGCCAAACTGGCCAGGGCCCCATTTAATTTCAAAGACACCCCAAGATTCACTTTTACGTCTCCTCCTCCTTTGATCTCACTTCTCGTTTGAGCTCACTACTTTGCAAATCCACCATCCCCTGTCCTTAATTCACCCTTTATTTTGGGGTGCAGTGCTCCCTTTCCTTTTGCAAGAACATTATTTCATCTAGTAATTGGTGGTGTGTGTAAAACCACGTCCCGAGCCTTTAAAGTTCCAGGTGCTTGTAGCTCTGTGTAAGACAGTATGTCTGTGCTCTAGTATTCGAAACATCAGTGTCAAAGAAAACACAGATAGCAGGGGGCCCTCGCCCTGCTCCGCCGGCAGGTTTCGCTCAGACGCGGTGTCTCTGCGGCCCCAAGGCAGCCGGCGCTGGAGTTGGCACAGTGGTCGTGGGCCTCCTGTGCCCAACACTGGAGACGTTTCCCTTACGACCTGTAGGGTTCCTGGTCTCCCATTATTCCCTCAGCAGTGTCCTTAAACAGAAGAGGTAGAAAAACTGATCTTCAATCCACTAAGTATAACTTGAAGTTAAATATGAGAAATCTGAAGATTACTTGATGGTATTTCTGTTGAATTATCATAGAGGACGTTCTGTGAAGTAACAGATGATTGAATGCATTTGTGCCGACACAATAATGAAGGTCTGCCGTGGGTCAGGCCCCACTGGGGACCAGGAGGCGAGCGGTGAGTGAGAACCGGCCTTTGCCCGCCGGTGGCCACGGCCCTCTGCTCACAAGGAGCCCAGCCTGCGACACGAGGAGCAGAGCTCTCCGGAAGGCCTGCGAGCAGCGAGTCGGGGAGCTGCCCACGGGCGCCAGAACTGGTCCTTAGGGGAAGATATTTCTAAACTCAGATTTGAAGGGGACAAGAGGAGGTGTCAGGTGGAGGAGAGACATGGGGCAGAAGTGTATTCCAGGCAGGGCTGAGACTTTTCTGAGTGTTGAACTGAACCTTCCACGTGGTGGAAGGAGCCACGTGTGGACGTAAACAGCTCTCCTCTGACTGTTGTGTGAAACAGTGTCCTTGTCAAGCCCACGGGACAGGCAGCCCTCTATGGATTAACCTCCTCTGGAAAAGATAATACTTACAGACGCCATCAGTTTAATCATGTCTTCCCATCATATGGCAATAATACAAAATATAACTTGACTGAATTCATGATCTCCCGGATAAAAGGAAGAGTTTGTTTTCTACTAATGTGTGTTGTTAATAACTATCTGCCAATCAGTCACGTTCATTGAATAGATACAATATTTAAAGCATTATACTTGATGGGATATAAAATTTTAGACAAAAGGCATGTATAGTTGAGTCACAAGAGCATGCTGTTTGTGTGTGCACACCCCCCCCTCGGAAATAGTCACGGAGTAAACATAGACAGTGGCCATGTGCCAAACACACGCCTGTAATTGGTGGGGTTGGCGGAGAAAGGAGTGGGCTGTGCTTCTCCGAGAGCTGGCGAGGGCATGCCTTGTGTCCACTTTCAGCCCAGGAGGGATTGTCATTCCCAAACGTCATGGACTGAGCCACTTCCTCCTTCCCAGACGCAGACGCTGGATTTTAAAAATATATACATTTTATTCATTTTAGAGAGAGAGAGGAAGGGAGAGAGAGAAAGAGAGAAACACCAATCAGTTGCCTTCCGCATGTACCCCGACCGGAGACAGAACCCACAACCCAGGCATGTGCCCCGACTGGGAATCAAACCGGCGACCTTTCGGTGCACAGGACGAGGATCAAGCAACTGAGCCGTTACGGCTGGGCAGAAGCTGGATTCTTTGGGGTATAACTTTAGAATTTAAAGCCTTGGGCAGAAAGAAAAACGATCCCTCAGGGAGCTGCCGTGAAGGCAGAGGACAAGACTGTGAGGGCTGGTGGAGAATAAAGAGAGCAAGTGTTACCGTCAGTGTGACTGGCTCTCACCAGACAATCCATTGGCTTGATTTCCATGCACGGTATTATGCTAGGGGCTAATCTTCTAAAGAATAGGGAAGTGTTTAAAGAGTAGGCTTCTCCCCAACGGCAAAAGACTGGCAAGTCGATGTCTGTGTATGTGTTTTATGTGAAAATATTCTGGGTGTGCATTAACCAACTGACTTCTGTGATTACGTGGCCTCCTGGTTCCAACCAGGTAGGTCAGGAGAGTCACTGCTCAGCTGGGGAGATGTTTTGCATGAAGGGAAAGGCAAACACACTGTAGCCTCTGATCAATGTTGAATCAGTAGCTGCAGTGAAGTTCAGATGCAGGAGAAGTCAACTGGGCTACCGTGGCCGAGGTGGGTTTCACGGCTGAGAGGGGATACAGAAGAGTTGTACTGATTACCTACCGTCACTTGAGTCATTTCTATGGAGGTTAGATATGTGGGTTGATGGGATGTAGACAAAGGGGGAGGGGGTGAAGTCCTCACTTCACACAGACTAGGATAAGAGATGAAACAAAGGAAATAAAGTGTGATGCATTCTAATTTTAAAACCTTTCTCAGTCATTCAATAATGAGAGGATATATCCAGTGAAGGCTCATTCTTGTCTTAACACTGTCATGTTTTTTTTTTTTTTATTGTGCTCCATTTATAAAGAAATGCTGCTTAGCTCTTCGGACCAGAACTGTATTTTAATTTCAATCGGCCACTATTAGAAAAAATACGAATGTGTCCATAAGAATGGACATTTGGTATTTCCAGTTTCAGTAATGAGAGAAAAATACCATTCCTCATTCAGTTAGGCAAAACCTTGTTTGAGTTACATATCCTTCGATATGAATTTTTAAAAATAGATGTTAACCTTTATCATTTTAAAATTGTTGGTTGTGTTTACATCACAAAAGAAGTTTGATACTTTTTGGATTCTGACCCGAAGCTGTGGCCCGTTAGGAAAGGCCAGAGGACTGTACCCAGAGAGCCAGGGAAAGCTTGAATCGTAGAAAACAGTCCATTTTTCGGTGTGTTGTGTTCCTGTAAAGGGTTCTACAGAGGCTCCCTTAGCTTAGAAAGTGATCAGTTTGGGGCCACAATGAGACAGAGCACAAGTTCCTTCCTAATTGGCAGGCATGAGTTCTCCTCTGTGGAGGGGACCTCTGTGGAGGGGACGAAGGTAACTGAGTCCAATCATCACCATGCGGTCAGCCTCACCCTGTGGCTGAGTGTGTAATGCGCTGACCGGTCACTCTTGGGAGCCCTTCAGTTTTGTGACATTCGGTGTAGCAAGCAAGCTCACATCGTCACCCAGCAACCACCGACTCAAGGCTGGTGTCGGCCCCTGCCGGTGGGCATTGACAGTCAGCCTCAACATCACTTCATCAGCGTAACTTGGGCAACCCTGTGTTATCACAGGAGTGATTAGTGGGCCCAGACCGAACACCCCCTGGTTCCCAAGGGCTGAGCAGCTGCATGTTCGTATCACTGTCACCGTATGTCTCGCTCCTTCTACTTACATGGTGTGTGTCTGTATCAGTCTGCTTCTGTTCACTTTCTCATTTGTAGAGAATACTGAAAACCACTCTGAAACACCAGCAGCTCCTGCTCCACCTCCTTCAACTCTTCCTAAGCCTAAATCCAAACCTAGGCCCCCCAAAACACCTGTGCCTCCAAAAGGGGCTGCTGCTGGGGCCAGCCCCAAGGGTGACGAAGTGCCTCCTATTAAAAAATATTCCAAGACATCCGGTAAGCAGGCCCCCACCCCTCCACCCAAGCCAACAAGCCGAAACACGACCCGAGAGGCTGGTGAGTATGCCCCCGTGGGATTGAGTCTAGGGTACTCGGCTCTGGGGTGGGGTTAATTATTTCTAGGCATGATGGCCTTTTGAGGTGTGGTGTCTTAGGATGTAACACCAGTGGGTTCAGCTTTGACACAGAGAATGCCCAGGAGATTCCTTTGTTGTATCTCTAGCAAAAGAAAGTCAACCAGTTGATTAGTTGACCTCATTAGTTGAGGGGTGAATAGACCTCTTTCATCCTGAGTAGCCACTCTGTGCGTGAGTAAGGAAACGGAGCAGTCTGCCGGGTGCATGGCAGTGATCTGATAGGACACTTGGACATCAACTGGCTTCTGCCTGTTTGAGTTTATGGGTGGATTTTTGGCTTGGGTTTTATTTCAACATGTCTGAAGCTTGCACATAAGAAGATGAGACTTGCACCTTTGACATGTTTGCAGTGTTGTCATGTCTTAATGTTGTCCACATGTCTCGTCATTTCTCTATTCACAAAGGACAAAGGTTGGTTCAGCCCACCACTCTCTATTGAGTCGTTACTGTTTCAACAGAGTTGAAAGTTACATGCTCAGTGGTCCCCCTGCCCCAGACAAAAGACTGCAATTTGTTAGAAGGGAAGCATCCCAGTGGTGTGGTTACAAGTCACTGTTGCAAATCACCAGGTAATGTTTTGGTAACCTACAAAATCTGCAAGTAATGTGTATCCAGCTGTCCTTTCAAATCAGATATGCTTAACCCAAGGGAGCTCCCATCGTCTAGTGGGGTGGGATGAGAAGACGACCATGCCATCCAGCTTTTAAAAGACATTGACCAGAGTGCACGTGCTGGGTAGCTTTGCCCCATGAACACGTGCCTGAAAGTCCTCCTGTGTTACAGCCAACCTTCTTATCCCTGAAATCAGCAGCACCCTTCTCGCCACTGGCTACCTGGATTTGCCTGGGATTGGTCTTTTCCCTTTGTAATTCAGACCCAAAATGCTCCCATGTAGGGAATGGCATAGTTGACAGTATGACAGACCACTGAATGTAGATAGAAGTCTCTCTCCCTGCATCCATCTTTTCTGCCTTTGACCTGGAGTGTCTGGGTCTCCACTAAGAAGGGCTAAAGTGAAATGTCTCAGAATGCCGTGCCAGCAGCGGGCTCAGGCCACCTCCTCAGGGACCAGCTGCCCGCCCACACATGCCAGCGTCTGTTCTTGCTGGTGTCTGTTTTCCCCAGACTGCCTAGCACACCCGAGGATCCATGCTTGACGTGGTCCACTGCTTAAAGAAAAGCCCCAGACGGTCACTCTGTCCTTGGGGATGGGGACCCCGCCTTGCACAGACCTTCCCTCCTCCTCATGGCCACATACAGCGGTTGGCTATGGGCGTGGCTTGGACTCTCCTCCTTCTCTCAGAAGAAAGCTGATTAATGCCAGGGTAGGGGGGAGCTTCCGTTAAAGATGTTTGCGTTATTTCCAGATATTTTACTTTAAGATATATTTACAGACTCGTGTTCCTAAGAGAATAGTACAGTCACGTTACCCATTGTATTCGAAGAGGCACAGCTAGTCCACAGTGTATATAAGAACGTTGCTATTCACGGGCCAGCACAGAGACACAGGTTGCACTGAAGGATACTGACAGCCCCATTGTGGGAGGATCCTTTTATCAAATATTGGTAACACTCCATCAGAAGCCAGCTGATATTCCGTTTGTAACCATTTAGAACTTTCTCCAAGGTAACATTTCATTGGAATAATGTTGACCTTTTGGAAAGTTACTGCAATTGCTGCTCTTGATTTTCAGTCCAATGTTTTAAGTTCTTAAAAAGCTACCAGTTAAGGTTCTTCATTAGCATACTTAATTAGTCCGCACCTCCGGATGACCAGATATCTGTTTGGCACAAGCAGCTGCTTGGCCAGTGAAATAAGGCAAAATCTTCTGTTTTTTATTCTTTCTTGAACAGTGTCGTGCACTGTGTGAACAACAAAAGTAGTGAACTGAGGAGAGGTGGCATTTCTTTTTCAGTCATGCTCTTAGCTCAGGGTGACTTAAGCAACATGATTGATTTCAGCAAAGTCCTGTCATTTTAGAAGAAAAACTATAATATGGCTTGGGTCTGCTCTGCAGGCACTGAAAAAAAATGTATTTTTTCTTAAACCAGGCTAAAGTTAACTTTGCTGTTATAAAAGAAAGGATTTTCTTTTTAAAAAAATTATTAGCATTGATAATATGGAAACTATTATGTTCACCTTACTTAAGAAAATAACTGAACATGTTTGGACATGAAATTCTTAGCACCTTTGTCATGCAAAATAAATTGGGAATGGACTTAGATTGTAAGAGTATGCTTAAAATGCTTGTCTTATGAGCAAGTGAAGATTGTTAACTTCAAAAACGTAGTGTTCACCATGGTTGGCCGGCTGCAGGCAACATGTTCGGTGAACTAGAGTCTCTAAAGAGAAAACTAACTATGAAAAAAACCAGCATTGACAGGCCCAGACTTGGAGGAGGGGACTCTAGCGGGTGTGTATATCTAAACTAATAAAGCCCCAAGCCATAGAGACTTCTTTTAAGCCTGGATCTCGTCACCGAGTGAGACTGGCTTCTTGTAGTCTATCAGAGTTGAAGTCTCCATCTCCTTGTCTATCCCTTTATTTGTTCTTCGTCTCGTGACCCTCCCAGTTGACCAGAGGTAAGTTACAATAACATCTGTACGCAGTGCAGGTTTACCTCACGTTACTAACCAGATATCTTCGGGTAGCTCTGTGGGAGACAGTTTAACGTTGAAGCCCTCATGAAAAAGAAGGAACGTACAACATTATAACAGAAAAGGCAATGAGGAGGAATTTATAGCTCATAAAGGCCATGCAACAAAGTGTGTTCTCATAGGAGTTTAAAAGTGTTTCCTAAGATGATACAAAGAAAAGGAGAGCGAACCTCCCCCCCCCCCCCCCCCCGGAAATGGTTTGGTAAAAGCCCTGCCCAGAAAGGCACACACACCACTGATGGAGCCCTTCGGGCAATCAGGCAGTTGTCAGATTATCCAAGAATGATGGTCTTTTCCTGCAAATTATTCAGATAGTACCCACTTAGACTTTTTTTTAAAATAGAAAATAATGTTTTCTGCCTTTCGATGTTTTGCAGGGGATGGGTGCTGTCCCATCACCGGGCCGATGGAGGCATGGGCCAGCCTGCAGGCTTCTCTCTGAGGCCGTGCCGAGAGCTGGTTTAGTTCACTCTCTTAGCAGTAAGATGAGAACATTTGCTTTGGGCCCAGAAAGGAGCCGGTGGTATAGACCCCAGCCTCTTCTGAATGCGGGCCATTCATTCCCAGGAAGATTTGTCATGAGCTCGACCCTGTGCTATCCCCAGACAATGCCAGTGTCTGACCTTCACACACAATAATGTCCCTACTTCAGAGCCAGCAGGATCTTTTCAGGTGACCCACAGGACAAGGAGCTGAGGATTTCCCTTTGGCTGGCCCAGGTAGAGACTAGACGAGGGAGGAGACAGGGGACTCTTGTCCCTTTGGGTTTTGCCTCGAGCATCACCTGCTCCCTCCTTGATTGGAGGCAGGGAGGGGAAGAAAAATAAGACCGTCATCATTATTAGCCTATTTTCTTTTAGTCATTTATTCCACACATTGTAAAATTTTAAGGGGAACGTTGTTGTTGACAATTGCAACTTGGTTAGTTTCTTTTGAAAGTGTTGTCTTTAATGCAAAGTCTCTCTGTTTTAGCCGGTTCCTCTCATTCAAAAAAAACAACTGGCTCCAAAGCATCAGCTTCACCATCTACTCCCTCCACCTCATCTTGTCTCAGAACTTCAAAGGAGACCGTTGCTAGCAAGACGGGGACAGTGGGAGTTGCAAAGGGCAAGAAAAAAACTGGCAAGCGGCCCACGGCTCGGCCATCCCCAGATGCCACCACTGCTGGTACGTCCGACCTTAAAGGAGAGCCTCCGGAGACCAAGGTGGAGAGTGTCAAAGCGGAGCAGACCGGCCCTGGGACGGAGGAGCCCAGCACAGGCAAAGCCAAGTCTGCAGTCCCTCTGCCCCCTGGGGCCCCGCCGCCCGCGCCCCCCGCCCCTCCCCTCGTGGAGGAGCAGTGCCTGTTCGCCTCAGACACTCCTGTCGTCCTGGTCAGCGATGGGGACGACCTGCCCGTCCCTGCCTTAGACCCAAGTCAGCTTCTCTGGACTGAAGCGCCGGCGAACGGAAGCCCCGTCCACTCAGGCACTGGCTTAAGTGTTAGCAGAGAAAATGCAAAATGGTGAGTCGGGGCCCAAGCCCCCTGTTTCCTCTGCGTTCCCTGTGAAGCTGGTTACTAAGGATCACTAACCCATTCTGTTGGAAAGCAAGGAGCCTACTCTGTTTCTTCTGTCATCTAATCTAGTGATTGTCAGATGGGCACACGTCATCCAACCATTGTTGTTTCCCAGCCCTGGCCCAGGAATGCCACCGGCCGCTGGAGAGAGGGACCTGGGTCCCAGGGACAGGTGGCACTGAGAGCTGGGCCTCCACCCTCAGCGGCCCCTTCCTGTCCCTCAACAGCTCCCTTCTCTGTCTTTGCAGTGCTTATTTTAAATCTTTACCACTCGCCCTGTTTGCTCCTCCACTCCAGCCTGCCTTCATTTCAATGAGTTATTTAGTCTTCTCCTTCTCCAGGAAAATAAAATCCATCAGGAGAGAACTCCGTCAAATTCCAACTCCTTTCCCTCCAACTTCAGAGTGGCTCCATTTCTTGCCTCCTTAATTCCCCACCCAACTAAACGCTCTCTCCTCCTTGGAGCCTTCGATGCTCATGCAGACAGAGTGGTTATGCGTCGACCCTCCTCTGACAGCCTTTCTCCTCCCCGGGGGACAGAATTAACCAGCCTGTCTTGTTTACCTCCATAGCGCCAGCAGCCAGCAGCGAAGCTGGGATACCGCAGGCATGCTGTCACCTGCTTGCCCCAGCTGCAGACTGGAATTCATCCTACGGTCCTCATTCTCCTGTGTTCGCTGTGTCTAGTTACCCAGAGAGTCCTATAAATTTTCTGCTTACAGGCGAATAAGCCATGTTGCCGTCCTGCCCCCAGGTGGGAGGCTGGGCTGACCGAGTATCGTAGATGCCATAACCAGTTCTGTCTAGCTAAAGTGTAGACCCCTTAACCCAGCCTGTCTTCAACTGTTTTAAGAATAAAACCAAATTCACTCTTGAAATCATTTGATTTAATATTTCCTCTTTCACAAAAAGAAATTCTTAGTGGTGTTAAAAAAAAATGTAGTACATTGATTTAAGTTGATTTGGATAAAATGTTAACTTTAATTATTCAATTACTGATCATAATACCCTTCATTTACTGAATACATATTTGATGCCAGGAATGGTCACTAATTCACATAAGTCTTCCCTGAAATAGTTGCAGTATTTCTGTTGAATAGGTGGGAAAACCGACCCTGGGGAAGTAGCATAGTTTCCCGAGATTGCCTGGAGTGCGTGGCAGAGCGGAATGCGGACCCTGAGGTGCCCAGCAGATTCCATGCCCTGAGGACTTTTATACATTTCCAGGCTCGTCGCTTCCGCTTCTTCTGCTGTGCTTTTATGTGTGTTCATCTCTTGTTTTTGTTTGGGGCGTGTTTGTTTTTATGATTTTGAGCTCCAACATCCAGAAGAAAGCCAAGGAATGATAAGTAAATGTTAACTTGCAAATTACTTTATTTGTTCAATGTGTTGGTAAATGCTATGGGAAAAGAAGATGTTGAAATGAATGGTTACAGTATCCCTAATACTTCCAGCACTTAGCAAATGTCTTTATTTATGGTGAATGTTTTCCAGCGTTGCAGTCAGTTCCAACCTTGACACCTAAACAGCCGTTCTTTCAGCCTATATTTTTGCTTGCCTTCTGTGTGCTGGGCAGCGTACCAAGCACCAAGGATACAAAAGTGAGCAAGACATTATAGCTAATATGATTTCTTACCAAAATAAGATCCAGCATGTCCAGGAAGGATACATGTTTAAGATAGGCCTGTATTTGGGGAAAGAGATTGAGTGTATGGGTTTATTTCTCAGTATACTAAAAAATAAGGTACAAGATGTAACATGATTCCTTAAGTGGTCTTAAGGACTGAGAGAGCCCATACAAAGGTGACCTGACTGTCCAGTCCACTTCCACAGGTATTTTGGGAGGATACCGGGTTGCCTTAGACGCCGTGCTGCGTGCTGGGGACCGAGTGTCAGCATTCAGCCCAAGTGTTTGCAGGACTGTCAGACAAAAGAGCCAGGCATCTGTTCTCCATTTCCACTGGGACTGTGATCAGAGAGAGCGAGCTTAGGACATAATTAGACCTCGAGGTTTTTATAATAGATTTTCCTGTCACTCAGGGTAACTATCATGCTTTCCCAGAAGAGGGCATAGAGATTTTCTTCTATGTATATTCTTCAAAATAAAAAAGTTAAATTACAGTTCATCCCACAGGGATGGTTAGCGTTTGCTCTTGAGTTAATGAGCCTGGAATAAGTAGTCTCTCAAATTTCCTTCCAGATTCTTTCTTCTGTTTTTCAGCGGATATCTGAATTAGAATTTCTGGCTCTTAGTCACTTGCTTTACTTAGAATTCTCCCCCGGTTATGTTTAGTCAACGCATGTGTGAAAATCTTGTCATCTTATGAAGAGGCTTCTGTTTGGAATACAAATATCAGAACTTTAAGGAAGGCAAGTGGCCATGTGTAAAAATACCTGCCTCTGTTCACACATTACAAGGTGGTAACTATTGGGTAGATTTCTGCTCCTTGGCTGCTTCCTCAGTACCGTGTACGTCGGGTGTAACTGAAGGCAGAAGCTAATAAGCCATCTGGAGCACATATTCTAAAGGGACTTGAATCTGTCCGGCCCTTTTCCACAAACACTGGTGGAGGGCACAACACTGGCCAGTGTGCCCAGGATCCTTTGAGGCGCATAAGAGCCAATCATGAGTTGATTGCTATAACTCTGGAGTATAATATTTAACATTAAATATAACCCATGATGCAATATTAAGGTAACTTATAATGTCAAGTATAAATGAAAATATAGCAAGATATTTGATAGACTAAGAGACTGAAGTCTGGGTTCTAGAACGGACTTGCTTCTGTGGTTGGGCAGCTCCCTCATGGCCTTCCTGGGCGCCATGCCCTGTAAATTACCCTCCCTCCTTCTGCTGCAGGACAGTAGTGAGGTGTACCTATGTGCAGAGGTCTTCGGAAACTATAAAACATTATAAAATACAAATGAGGCTAAAATAATCATCTGTAGCATAATAAATTAGTGAACTGTGACATGAATACTAGGGCTTAACCCTGAAGTGTGTTTTTCATTCTGCTCTTCAGAATGTTATTAGTTGGCACATCTTTTAAACGGGCTGTGGTCACCCACAGTGGCAAACAGGAACGGCCCCCAGTGGCCATTGACTAGAAATCCAGACTTGAAAAGTTTTCCCTTCAAATAGACCTCTCATTTCAAGTGAGAGTTCACACTGTGGAAGCAGTATGGTGGTGCCTGAAAAATTAGACACAAAATCACCGTGTGATCCTGTAATTCTGCTTCTGTGTATATTGCCAACAATTTGAAAGCAGGTACGCAAACAGGTATTTGTACAAGGATGTTCATAGCAGCGTTATTCACAATAACTAAAAGGTAGCGACAACCCAAATATCTGTCAACTGATGAATGGAGAAACAAAATGTGGCAAATACGTACAGTGGAATATTATTCAACCTTTAAAAGGAAGGAAATTTTGACACGTGCTCCAACGTGGATGAACCTTGAAGACATACTAAATGAAAAAGATCAGACACCTAAGGGCAAATGTATAATTTCAATCATTCAAAGCACTAGAATAGTAAAATTCATAAAGACAAAGTAGAATGGTAGTAGCTGCCAGGGGTTACGAGGGCAAAAACAGTAAGTTATCATTTAAAGGGACAGAGTTTCAGTTTGGGAAGATGAAAAGTTCCAGAATCCAAGGGTGATGTTTTTACAACAATGTGAATATATGTAATGCAACTGAACTGTGCACTTAAGCATGGTTCAAATGTTAAATTTCATGCCGTGTCTATTTTGCACAATAAGAAATGACATTTTCTATCTCCCCCTTTGAAAACAAGTATTCTGGCTGTTGGATGTTTCTATTACGTGAAAAATAGAGACTTTTGAAAGCACTTGGGCTTGTAACCACAAAGAATCGTCAGTCTCTCAAATTTTGACAGAACGTTACCTGTTTTTATTATACAAAGAACTGCTTTTGGCTTTTTTTAGTTAGTGAGAATGGCAGGCACATGTTTGCCACTACACAGTCTTTCAGAAGTGTGACATCCAAATTTGGATTCTTCTGTTACAATCAGAAAGCAATTCGAGGATCTTCTTTATCTTAAAATGAAGATTGCATTGTTTTCTATATAATATTTTTATGTAAAGTATATATGTGCATGCTAGTCTATGAAAATTGGAAATCTTTCTATAGTAACTGTATATTTTATTTTTTAATTACAGTTGACATTCAATATTATATTTGTTTCAGGTGTTCAGCGCAGTGGTTACACAATCACATACTTTACAAAGTGGTTCCCCAATATTTCAAGTATCCATCTGACACCATACATAGTTATTACAATATAATTGACTATTTCCTGTGCTGTAACTTACATCCCCATGAGTATCTGTAATTACCAATTTGTACTTCTTAATCTCTTACCTTTTTCACTCAGCTCCCCCGCCCCCGGCAACCTTCAATTTGTTCTCTGTTCCTATGTGTCTATTTCTGTTTTTTCATTTATTTTGTGTGTGTGTGTGTGTTTTAATGCTACGTATAAGTGAAATCATATGGTTTTTGTCTTTCTCTGACTGACTTATTTCACTTAGCACAATAGCCTCTAGGTCCATCCACATTGCAAATAGTAAGATTTCATTCTTTTTTATGGCCAAACAATATGCCATTGTACATATGTACTTTAAACTAGAAACTCTTCCCAAGCTCAATAATAGAAAATGATTGCATTTTTGCACGTAAACTTCTTCTAAAAAGTCCATTTGACTTCCACACTTTCCACCTCATGTTCTTAATGTAGTCCTATGACAGGAGAGTTTACAAATGGAGAAGCTAAACACAGAGAAGGTTGTTATTACTGTTGACTCACTGCTGTGATGATAATAGGATTCATACATCAATTAAAGAAGACGTACTTTTCCATGTCACTACATTTCCAGGTGTTGGGCTGCAAAACAATGAGTCCTAGTTGTCCAGGAACTTTCGGGGTTGGAAAGGCTAGTAAATAGCATTCGAGGAGCAGTATGCCGAGCGCTCCAATGGGGTTGTCTTCAGATCCCCACGGAAGGAGGGACAAAGGCAAGGAGCTAGTCTGAAGGACAGTGACAGAGCCAAGGCTTCACTGAGACTGGAGGGTAAGCAGGAGTTAGAGGTCAAAGAAGCAGCACAGACTCACTCGGGTATTCAGGAGCTTCTAGCCTGCTGTTCCTTCCGCTGAACCCCATTGCTCCGGCCAGCCCGAGGATGCTCACACCAGCACTCCTCCCGGCCTGGCAGCGGCCCGAGGGTGGCCCTGAGCTTCATGCCACCCCTGTGCTGCTTCTGTGCCTTTCACAGTGTCACAACCAAAGACGAGCTGGGAAGGGCGCAGCTGCTGGCTCCGGGGCTGCTGGGCGAAGCTTCGGAATCCCCGGAGGACGAGGGCCAAAGGGAGTACCGGGCCAACGACTCCGACTCCGACGGGCCCGTCCTGTACACCGACGACGACGACGAGGACGAGGACGAGGGCGGCAGTGGGGAAAGTAAGGCTCTCTCGGGAGGGAGGGAGGAGCGGGGGGGGTGGACGGAAAGAAGCAGCTGCGTTTTGTAAAGAACTGAAGCCCCACCCGGAGCCACACGTTGGATGTTCTCTTTCCCCTCGTGTTCCTTTCTCAGGTTAGAAGTGTGCATGTCCTAAGGGTCAGCTCTTGATGACAGGCCTTTCCAGAAGGTGATTCCATGGGCTTGGGGGGCCTCTATTGGGCAGATCTGCACATTTGTGTTTGTCCAGAGAGTCAAAGCTTTCTAAGGACCGAGCCTTTCTCTGGATGATCAGCGACAGCCCTTCCCCGGGGCTTGTCTTGAATAAAGAGCATCAGGGCAGGAGTCCCTGGATTGCTCATTGGAAATGTTTGAGAGTTTCCCTCAAGTTTGTGAAGAGGAGGGAGGGAGGAATGAGGCAAAAATGACCAATACCTTTAAAGAACTAAAAACAGTCACTCATCCACAGTAAATAAGAATAGTTTGCCTTCTAGGAAAACCAGTAGTGAGGCAGATAAAGACAACCACTTCTGGGTTCCCTAGGGAACTGGAAAGTGCTGTTGTTTTTCGTCTTCTATGGAGGATGACTCGGGGCATTCGCTGTAGAGTTAAACTTATAGGTTATGAAGAGTTATTCGCATATTAATGATTAAATGTCAGTTTGTCAAATTTCCTTTAGTTAGTACTGAACAACAACAAAAGAAGTATCGTCCATCTGGTATTAACTATCATCTGTGGAGATGTCAGGGATCTCTGGGTAATTTGGAATTAAAACTTTAGTATCAGCGGTGGACTTTTGCCAGAGTGGTTTTGAGTAGAGGAAAAAGGAAGACAAGGATTTCCTGTACAGTATAAATAAAGGGGCCACATTTTTCAGACTTGAGAAAGAAAAGAAAGAAAAGGCATTATGCAATCGGTAGTTTTCCTGATGAGCCATCTCAGTAAAATAAACTTCAGATATCACTTTCCAAATGATGAGGTGATACTTCCAAGTTTTTCATGGGGCCCCAACATTTTTCAGAACATTTTTAAAAATAGTCCTCCAGGTTTTTCAAAATGAACTACATCTGACTACCCCCCACCCACCCACCCCCCCGGCTAATTAAAATTCCCCCCCTGCATGCGGACGAGAATTCGGTCTAGACTCAGCTTCCAGTCCATGCCACCTGCAGCCTGCGTGCTGCTTGCTCAGAGGCCTTTCTCTGCACTTCTGCCTTTTCTAATCCTCAGGCGCTTTGGCAAGTAAAATCCGACGAAGGGACACTCTAGCTATCAAACTTGGCAACAGACCGTCCAAAAAAGAACTGGAGGACAAGAACATCTTGCAGCAGACATCTGAAGAAGAGAGGCAGGAAATTCGACAGCAAATTGGAACCAAGCTGGTCAGGTAATTGCTGAAATGTTAGCACAGCGCTGACCCATGCTTTCCCGTCCTGTAGTTTCCAACCTGAGGTCGTTGTGAATTCCTCGTGCAAGGGCACACCTGGCCTATCTGGTCTTTTAGAGTTGGTCCTGGATGGCGAACCGCTCAGAGAACTTGCCCTTTGATCCAGCGAGTCCGTGGCTTTGAGGTCGCCAAAGGTTGATGAAAGTGTTGACGAACTTTTTCTGTAAAGGACCAGTTCGTAAATATTTTAGGCTTTGCTGGCCAGAAGGGCTCTGCGTGGCTGTGTTCCACTGAAACGTCATTCATCAAAACAGGAGGCAGGCCTGGTTCGTGGACTCACGAGCGTTCCTGTGATTTCCAGGAGGTTCTGTGCTGTGGGTACGAGGCTGTGTAAATAGTAGTTAGTTTCAACGGTCAGCTCCACCCAAGTCAGGTAACCACAGCCCGGATATCGAAAGTTCCCTCTTTTAACTCCAAATAAATGATCATCTGGTTTCTCTTCCTGCCTCCAGCTCTTGTATGATTTTTATTTTTGCCACTAATGACGTTGGAAGTCCATTGAACTGGCAGTTTTAATAGAAATCAGTGCTGGAGCTCTCGTTTTTATGATCAGTTTAATCCTGTTGCAGGGTTAGTTACTTGGCTGATGTTTCTCAGCCTGCGTGAACGACGGGGTGCATAAGTTGGGAGAAGGGCACAGTCTGGAAGACAAGAGGAGGGTTTGTGTAACTGCTGGGGAGGGCAGAGAGCCAGGAGCCTTCAGAAGTCAAACACCCACCTTCCAGGTACTATTTTAGTCATGTATAAGGTTGGGTAGCTGGAGAAGGAAAGAAGGTCATTCTACAGGGAGGAAACTCCATAAACTAAGGCAGGAGGATGTGTTTGGGGGATGACATAGTACAGATATGTTGTCCCAGATACCTGGGCACACCGATGGCACATCTGGCGGGCGCAGATGTTCACTGGGTTTTTTGTGGGCTCAATTACCTAAGTTAATTTCAAGGGAGCTTTGATGAAGATTAAACTTGAACACAATGTTTAATGAGACATTTAAAATATTATTGATTTCAATTCTTTCTACCATTTCTGTCATAGCCATAAAAATTTAGAATTGATAGTTTCTATATTACAATTAGTTTCATGCCCTGGCCAGTTTGGCTCAGCGGTTAGAGCATCGGCCCACGGACCAGAGAGACCCGGGATTGGTTCCCACTAAGGGCATGTACCTCAGTTGCAGTTCGTCCCCGGCCACAGTTGGGGTCGTGTGGGTGACAACCACTTGATGTGTCTCTCTCACATCGATGTTTCTCTCTCTCTCTTCCTCCCTCTGTCCCTCCCGCTCTATCTGAAGATAAATGCAAAGGAAAAAAAAATGTCCTCGGGTGAGGATAAAATAAATAAATAAAATTAGTTTTCATGTATATTAGTTTAATTTGCAGAAACTGAGCCTATGTCCAGAGAAAGTTTTTGTCTGTGATCAACAACAAGTTAGTAAAGTAAACAAGACCAAGAACAAAGTTAGAGAGAGTTCATAGGGCATTGAGCTCTTGTATGCAGATAGTTGCCCATGAATCACAAGGGAGTCTGGCTTGTCCTGAAGGCAGATGGGAAGGGCCGACACATCTCAAGAGAACTATATATATGGGAAACTCATTTGAGGTCACAAGCAATATTTCACTTAAAACGCTATGCCGTATAGAGTGATCATCTCCCAGGTCGATACGAACTCTCAAATAGCCGCCTTTTTATAGATCCAAAGGACTGTGTGTGGATTAGGGGGAGGCTGAGCTCTTTTAACAGAAACCAAAACGGGCAGTGGTCCGAACAAGGCACTTCCACAACTCGATTCTTTCTCACGGAACAGTCCCAAGGTAGGGTGCGCTGTGCAGCGTGGCCGTGAGCACTGCTCCTTGCAGTCCGCCAGGAACCCAGGCTCCTTCTGTCTTGTTGCTCTCCCATCCCCGTGGGTAGTCTCATCCACACGATGCAAGCTGCCTCACCGACCATGTGTAAGTTCTAGCCTGTGGAAGAAGGCAAGGCAGAGAAGGGAACACACACACCCAGTCATTGTAGGGGTAAGAAGTGGAAATTAACACCATTTCTGCTCACATTCCATTGCAAGAACTTGGTCATATCGCCACACCTTGCTGCCAGGGAACAGAAGGCCGTAGGAGGGGTGGGAGGGGCGGCAGCTGAAGCTCAGAGGTTCTGTTTTCGAAAGGAAGGGAGAGGATGGGTAATGGGGGGTAGTTAGCAGTCTCAGCCGTGACCTCTAGTCTCCAAACTAACTAAAAGGACACTGTTCTAGGTTAAAAATGGACTTTTGTTTCTCAAAACATGAAAAAAAATAGAATTTTGTTTGTTTTATTTTGTGTCTCCTATGAAGGGGGCCTTGTTTGTAACCTGCAGTATATCCTTTTTGTCGTCATAGGAGACTTAGCCAGAGGCCCACAACTGAAGAATTAGAGCAAAGGAATATCCTAAAACGTGAGTATACTGCACTATACAATGATTCCTTGTCTAACCATTACCAAGCTCCCTATGGAGATGATCCATGTATCAATAGGAAACCTTAGTATATTTATTCACAAATGATTGAAATGGTCCATTCACATCACAGTTATGTGTCATTGTTTATATAATTAAAAAAAAAAAATTCTCAAACTTTGTGACAGTTGTTTTTAAGAAAGATGAAATATATTCCATGTATTCTTTCACCCAGCTATTAAATAAAAGAAAATACTCCGGTCGGCTTACAAATACACGTCAAAGAAAAGGCCAGAGAATCCACAAGGAAATGAATCAAACATTCCTATATTATTATTAATAATACAATTTGTTGCCAGGCTTAACAAATGACTCAATTTAAAGCAAAATCATGGTAAAAGCACTTTTTCAATCCATTTCATTTTCCTTTGTTATGATAACTCTGTTTCCCTCTCGAGTAATTTATAATTGCTCAGCACTTATGGAATTCTCCTTTCATTTTCCAACTTTAATTCCTCATTTTATTTTTTTCCTCTGTTTTCTTTGACTTGACTTTTCACTCACCAGTCCAGTCGTATTTAAATTATTAAAGTTCATACGTTAAAGCTATAAAACAAATGGGAGCAGTTTGTCGTGCTACAGTGTATCAATGTGGTTACTAACTACAGTGAGTTAAGTAATGGATTTTTTTAATTGAGCCACTGTAGTTTTATATATCATTAACACAGTTTCAAAAGAGCTTTTTGTTGTATGAACTATCAAAGAGCAAGGATGGGCCAAGCTCCGGATGGTACTACAATATTAACGAGCCCCTGGCATGTGCTACATCTTTGTCAACTAGGCTTTCACGGTCAAGTTGGCCTATCTGGATGATCCCTGTTCTCCAATCTGAATTGTTTTCTTTCCTGTAAGAAAGAGGGTTTTAATAGCATAGTAATGTGACAGTTACTATTACTAAGACAACTCAACAGTGAGGGCTGAAGAATAAGAATTGCCAGTCTATGGGACTTTTTCCCCTTGGAATGTTTTTTTTTTTTTTTTTTCCTGGCTCTTTGTGAGCATAACTGGGATAGAACCCAAGAAAGGACTTAAGCAACCATCAATGTATACAAGAGCCGGATTGGAGAGGGAAAATGTCGTGGCTAGAAAAGAAAGAAAAGGTAGGTCTTAGCTTTCTAAAATAGGATGACAGCAACCTCTAATTTTGACAACAAAACAAAACCCAAAAGGCTCATGGCTTTTGGTGATAGGTTCCCAGAAAATATTTGAATTGACTTTTAGATGAGCTCAAATACAGATCACGAGCTCCTAACACAGATTATTTCTTACTGGATGCCCGATGCGTGCAAGGCCTAGAAAAAAGGAAGAGCGGATTCTGGGTAATTTTCTCCTGCTCCTGTGAGACAAATAGTGCCAAACCACACTGGTGTTTGGTTTTTTGAGGAATGGTGTCATAGATCTAGAAATTTATCGCACATCGATCTTAAGTGCTGTGTTGGCTTTTATTCCCCATTTTCCTGGAGGTGCGGGAAAGAGCGAAATGCCAAAGTCAACTTCAGCTTCGACTTCAGCCCTTATTTACTTCCTTTTCAGTTTGTTTAAGCATGCTTTTTCTGGAAACAAAAGGCCCATTTGCAGTCTGGAAGGGCAGATAACTGGTCTGTGATCTCCTGACATAGTATCGTATGGCCAAGGGAAGCAGAGGAGAGCTGGTGGAGGTCACACTCACGACACTCATTCGGCCCCTGCTCACCTCGCGGGTCCTCCGCGTGGGTGGCTCTTGCGTGTCCCTGTTTCCTTGTCAGGGACTGTTCACCAGCAGTGTGATTGTCTAGTTGGAGAAGAGTCTCTGTGACATGGCGTGGTTTTTAAGGACTTTTATTTTAGCTAGGTCAGTTTTTTCTGGACAAATTAGGGAACGAATTCACAGAATGAAACATTCAGCAGTTCTCAAATCCAAGTCCATCACTAGTTTAGGAAATGTGAGTCAGATGACGGTCAATGCTGATAGTTTTATTTTATTTTTATTTATTTATTTATTTATTTATTTATTTATTTATTTATTTATTTTCATTATCTTTTTTTTCTTTTTTGACTTTTTATTTTTATTAATTTATTTTTGTTACAGATGTTTCTCCTTTCCCCCCCATTGACACCCTCCTCCCCATCTCACCGCGCCCCCAGCCTCGTCCCCAGCTTTGTTGTCTGTGTCCACTGGTCACGCATACATGCATATTAATTGGAACACAGGACAAATGGTATTTCTTAGTGTCGTGCCCCGTATTATGACCTATTTTCTTCCCTATTTCAGTGCAGCTAGCATTTTAAAGTACATATAAAGTTATATTTACTTGTACATTTTAAAACCAGTTCCTTAAAATTGTTAAAATAGCAAGTTTGGGTGCCTAAAGGTCAACTTTTGCTGATCAGGATATATACAGAATACCTTTCTCAGGGCAGGGATAAAAGATAAAAATCCTCTCATACAATTTAGCTGTGACTGTAATTCCAGCTGTCTCTTCTATAGAGAATAACTATATTAGGTCATTGAATTCTGCATATAACATTTTATATGAAGTTTTTTAATCATACAGAGGAAGTGAAAGAATTTTACAGTAAACACCTATATATCTACCGTTAGCATCTACTTTATTACATCTTGCTTTATCATATATCTGTCCATCCATTACTCCATCTTTTTTTGATGCATATCAAGCAGGTTTAAATGCATTTTCATTTGCTAAAAACACCCATACAGGAACATATAAAACAGCAAAAAGAGAACCAAATCCCCCAAAACGTTTGGCCTTTTTCAATCCCATTTGATCAGAATCGATGACTCAGGAATATAACGCTCCAGTTGCCGGTATTTCTGTGTTTTCCTTGTTCTTGTAGCTCATCCACAAGATGCTCCAGCAACACTGACTAGCTAAGCGGCTTTTCCTGCGTTTCCCCCCAAATCCTCCCGTATTGCTTGTGTGTTCATGGCAAATGCTTCCTGTGTCTATTCTGCAATATCCGCCCCTCTCTGTTCTGATGTGAGTGGCTGAGGGCAGGATTTGTCAATGAGCCACATCACTTCCTTCGTGAGTGTTCCCCCAGTCTGTTTCAAGTCACTGGGAAGGGTTCCATCCTACTTTGTAATTAGCTCTCTAATAAACCCTCCAAAAAGGAGAAAACATTAAAAATATTCAGTAAATTTTTTAAAAACTAAGTTTAAGGTTAACCTTGATGCTTTGGAAGAGATTTTACAGTGACTGATAAGATTCAGAAGAACAGTCCGGTTGGCTTCCCTCCACCCCTAACCCTCTTCCTCTAACCTCATTAGAAGCATTAAATTCAAATGTGGGAAATGTAAGGAAGTGAGCTGCTGATGTTAAAGAATTCTCAAGTGGTAAATCATGTTTATTTAACTCCCCTAACTGCAACGGGCCCTTCTTTTTTTAAACTTAACTGGCTGTCACATAAATGTACAATATGCTTAATAAGGCAAAATGATCTTATAGTCCCTTCAAAGAGATGACATTTTGTGTATTTCATGAAAATTAGAGCATTAGGTTTGAGTTGTATTAGATATCCAATATTTTGTCTCTGAAAGTACCTTTAAAAACAACATAATCACTGTGTAGGAAGAATTCACTAAAATGTATTAAGGGTTATATTTTTCTTTTTATTAATAATATTATCAGAGGCCAACTCTTTTTTTTTTTTTTTTTTTTTTATCCTCACCTGAGGATATTTTTCCATTTTTTGTTCAGGTAGAGTGGGAGGGAGAGAGAGGAACAGAGAGAGAGAGAAACATCGATGTGAAGGGACACATCGAGTGGCTGCCACCCGCACGACCGACCAGGGCCGGGGACAAACTGCAACCGAGGTACATGCCCTTAGCGGGAACCGAACCCGGGTCTCTCAGGACCACAGGCCGACGCTCTAACCGCTGAGCCAAACCGGCCAGGGCCAGAGGCCAACTCTTGTAAAACCCTAGTTTGAATGGCATGAACCGTAAGTTTGGTGTTTGGATTGTACAATGCACATGCCTTAACCAGCTCACAAAAGGTAATTATTTGACTCTAAGGATGTATTTAAAGGATACCTACAGTAAAGTCATAGAAAGAAATCTGAATATAACCAAATTTGATTGACACTCGACAGACACTTAGTAAAAGCATATTAACTAGTTGTTTCTTGTCTTGCAGGGTGATTTAAGTTTATGTTCACTCTTTGTCTAAAAACCAGACTAATCATTCTCTTTCTTATAAATTAAAATTAGTGTTTCAGAAGACTGTAGAAACTTTTCCCTGTCAAGATATGGAAAATTAATAGAGATTCAGCCTATTCAAATAACAAATTCAGATGTTCCAAATATTGAATGCTAATATTTTATTAATGATAAAAATAACCTTGGTGGTAAGAAGTCTATTTGAACTTAAAAGATATAATTATCTTTTCAAAAAGAATTCTTATTCACCCTTTTAGCTGAGCTTTTACAGTGTGATTTTTTTCCTTCAATAGAATTCATAACAACACTTTCTAAAAGATAATCTTTTGTAAGTATTAATACCCAACGGGTAAAGTCTGTGTTCATTTACTGAACAGACAATGAGCTACTGGAAGCAACAGAGAGAAATTCATCAAATAAGCAACCATTAAAACCTGAAGGGGTGTTTATTTCTTTAAAAGTTCTGGACATTTTTCTCTTAATCCCGTCTGTTGGACAGCATTCATTTACGTTGGCCATTAAATTGTACTACTTGGTGAAGTACTAGAGAAAAAGAAGACGCTGGAAAGTCAGAGTCATGAGAAAATAAATCATCTCCACCACAGCACACCATAACCCCATTCAGAACATTCTGGTTCGAAAGTGAAGTCCAAAGAAATGATTACATTCTGCTTCTATGGAAACCAAAGCAGACAGATCAAGTATTTTAGTTGGATTTGAATGGAAATCAGCAACTCAGACATGCATCAGATGGTTCTAATTTGTTCTTTTGATATGTCTCAGAGTTTCACATGGAGGCCAGATCCAGAAGTAAATTTTTCTCTGAATTCTAATAATCTGGGCTTGTCAGCCCATGAAATGATCAGCCGGGATAGGTTTTCACCAGAATACGGGCACTCTTGTGGTTTTTTCCAGAACAGAACAAGAAGTTGGGAAGCAAAAAGGGTTTACAATGAGTAAATAATGGAGAAATATAGCATATATATATATACACATATATAAATTAATATAATCTTATATGTATATAAATTAATGATGAATCTGTCTGCAAAATCTTTTGACAACTTTTTAAAGATGTTGAAGTATTTGATCAGTATATCTTAAAGTCAAATAACTGTGGCCTGATTATAAGATCACTTGTAGTAACTAAGTCTTCATGTTTCCCCTCCGTTGATAAACAGAAAAGAATGAAGAAGAAGAACAAGAAGCAAAAATGGAACTTAAACGCAGACTCAGCAGAAAGGTGATGGAATGTGATGGTTGTATGGGCTCTGAGATACACTTCATTTTTCAAATGCAGCTCTCTACATGCAAATCTGATAGTGAAAAATAATTATTCCTGTTAGTCTACTAACACATCATAGACATTAAAATCAACGTAATAAATACAATAGGAATTATCTTTATATTTATAATTGCAGGATATGTTGATTTTGACGTTAACAATCAAAAGTTTTAAAGTATATTTAATGATTAGAAAAATAACAGTCTCTGAAAAGTTTTTTAAATGCAAAAGGAAATAAACAAAGAGAAAAAAAAATTACACAAACTTCTTCCATTTAGAGATAACCATTATTAACATTTCTTCAGTGTTTAGTTCTTACAAATATTCACACTTTCCATGTAGTCTTGGAAATATTAAATAAATTTTGTGTTGCTACTGAAGATTTGCCACCGTTCCATATCTGAGCTGGGTAAGATTTTGAGTGAACTTGATCATCCAGGCTGCCTACGGTGGTGCTACCCAAATTGGCAAATGGCTTAACCTCAGGTAATTGTTTCCACCGTTTATGAAAATATAAATCCAGTAGCAGAGCTGCCCCTTTTTGTGTAAGTGTTAAAATAGTTATAGTCTTTGGAAAAATGAAGCATGGTCAAAGCTTATATTTCACCATAAATCTTTGTTCAGTAATTGCCAGCTATTCCTTTCACACCTGGATGAGGCAGGATGAGGCAAGCATGACACCTGCGGCGAAGTATGTGACCTGACCCACATTTATCTGGGCTGGCTGGGGAGTCCCAGCAAAAGCATCCTAAGACAGGCTGAAGAAAATACTCCATTCCATGGAAAAGTTAGAAACTATACTTTGAGAGGTTTGGGGTTTGATTTTTAGGGGAAAAGATTCTTTATTCATCTCTCTTTTTTTTTTTTTTTTCCCGCAAAGACCCTAAATGTCAAATATTGCTCAAGCTGAGAGAGACTCTATAACCTGAATTTCTGGAGATGGCTCTCCCAGCATTCAGTGGCCTTTGTGCTCCAGCTACAGTTAAGAAGAAGTGGCCCCTCCTCATTGCTCCAGGCTCACCCCTGATGTGCACAGTCTTCTCCATCCAGCTGGGCCGCTCCCAGAGGCCACAGAGCCTGCCCTGACTCCTGTCCCCACTGTACCGAGCTCCCTGGCACAGTCCTGAAGGGCAAGACTGGATGGAGAATTTCTCACCTGTGTGGCCATTGGTCACTGGCCTTCTGGGCAGTCCCCAGAGGCAAGGGTTTCTCTCCCTCCTTCACCCCTCAGTCCTGGAGAGGCAGTAAGAATCTAGCAATAGAGACTGGACAGTAGCTGAGAGCGTAACAACCACTTAGAGTATTCCTTCCTTTGCCCAGTACCTTCCAGGGCTCTCTGAACCTAGAAGGAACTGAAGTTGTCATGTCCTAGCTCAAGTGGGCTCAGGGTGTAGACCCAGGCCTTCTAAGAGTCTTTGAATGCCTTGAAGGCAGAGCATTGACAAAGTCCCGCCTCTGGTTTTGCTCAAGAGGAAACCAAGGCCCAAGAAAGGGGATGTTTTTAACCACAAAAACATTTTTTGTGTGTGATTGTGCTTAATTTTTCCAAAAATTGATCCTGTATAAATAAGGAACACCTCCAAAGAGGACTGCTTAGACAGTGGGTGGCCTGGCTATATACAGAGTACATACATGGAGAGAAAAGACACTGAACATGGACCCTGGGGTGAAACAGGCCTGGGTCTCCCTGTGTGACACCCCAACTGAGAAAGGCCACAAAAGCATGAACCTCAATAGCAGAGAGTAACTGATGCCGGTCGACCGGGGGCCCTGTTTCCTTCATCTCAGAGCTGTCTCTGTTTTTCCTGGGCTTGAGAAGGACCAAGAAAGGAAAGCAGATATATACAGGGATGGTTGATTAAATATACGTATAAATTCAAATTTGACAAAGACCACAGGAGGAGTCCATGTTGTTAGAAGTATCCTGAAGGTTGCTGCTGGTTTGAAGTAGTGAGGGTCCCAGTGACGTCCACGTCCCCAGAAGGTCTCCCTTCCTGTGCCTCAGCTTTTGTGGCCAAGAGTAAATGTCCAGTGTGGGTCTGGGTTCTTAGCTCTCCTGGAAGAGGACCATGAGGAGACTCCTAGTGGACCATTTCTTTGTCGTGACTTCATGCATTTCTGAATATACAGGTTTAATAGAAATAGGAGCCAGGATTTTTATTCCCATTTCTCAAAGTTGCAGGGCTTTTGTCTTAATTCAGTCCCCAAACCAGCCATCCTTTGTCTGGATTCTTGTGCTGTCTGTGCCGCATCATGTTCCCTGTGTCAGGGATGACAGTCACCCTTGTCACAATGTCAGGCAAGTTGGAGAAAACAGCATAAGGCAGATGGTTGCCAAAACCATGACCCATCTAGAAATGATTTTTATAGTCGCAAAACTAGGGCACACTGCTTTCTAGTTCTTATTAGAAACTCCCAAGATGCTGCTGCCTTCTCTTTTCTTTTCCTTCTTCTTTTTTTTGGGTGGGGGGGATATCTGAAAGTGACCTTATTTAACCATAACTTTGAAATTCTCTATAGAAAACTTGCCGCCATGAGGCTGTAAATGGTTTCCTGAACTTGTCCTCTGCCCCTGTCCCCCTGCAGCTCAGCCTGAGACCCACAGTAGCAGAGCTACAAGCTCGAAGGATCCTGCGGTTTAACGAGTATGTGGAAGTCACCGATTCTCCCGACTACGATCGCCGGGCAGACAAGCCCTGGGCCAGGTTGACACCTGCAGACAAGGCAAGAACGCCAGTGGCTTCAGCCATGATTTCCCTGATTTGTGATTTTACTGCTTTTCTAAAAGCGCCCATACTCACGTACACCCACTTAGCCATCTTAGGAAGCCAGATATTACCAAGTATCCAGTAGATTTTTGGTCTTTGATTATTTAAGCCATTTACATGATATATTTAGTAATAGCAATGATGTTCTTTTAACTACGTCTCCGAAAAAAAAAAACCACTATAAATCTCATGGTATCAGAATACTACGTATTTGGCCCTGACCTGGTGGCTCAGCTGGTTGGAGAAACGTCCTGCGTACCAAAGGGTTGCAGGTTATGTTCGGGTCAGGACACATGCCTGGGTTGCGGGTTCGATCCCCAGTCGGGACATTGCAGAGGCAGCTGATCAGTGTTTCTCTCTCACGTCGATGTTTCTTCCACTCTGCCTCTCTTTCTCCCTTCTTCGCTCTCTCTCTAAAAGTCAATAGAAACATATCATTGGGTGGGGATTAAAACAGTAATAATAATAATAATAATAATAAGTATTTGGTCTCAGTGCTATCTCCTAGGGGCTCCTCTTGTTTCTGTCTTAGAAATGCTTAGTTTTGCTCAATTACTTCCCATTGTTGGCCCAACCCAGCACCGTTCGGGCTCCAATCCCACTACATCAACCTACCTCTTTCTGTCCCGTATCTGTCAACAAAATCAGTCCCATTGACACTTACACGAAGAGTTAGGAGGCCTAAACTTGGATCTTCTTTAAGATTGTTGTACTTGTGTTTCACTGACATAACAATCTCAGGAAATCTCTTTAGATAGTAAGAGGAAGTAACTCTTGGAATAAAACTAGAGTTATTCTTCAGTGAATTTTTTAAAAGGGTATTGCATTTCTTTAATTGGCTGTAGTTACAACTTGCTGACATATTTTTTCAAGCAATCAGTTCCTCTAATTTGACATTCATGTTCATGACCAGCACACACACCGTGGAGGTCTGAGGTGATTTTCTGGATGACTTGGGCTCTGAGCTCTTTCTACTGGCAAGAGCGGAAGACTTGAAGGAAGAAGGCCAACGCCTGGGGCCCGTCTTTGTACCTACTGCCCATTTGATATCCAGCAGATTGCTTGATCTCCATTTTATTCACTGGTTTGTGACAAATCACCCCAAAATTTGGTAACTTAAAACCATCTTATTTTGTTCACAATTTCATGAGTTAGGAATTGGAGAAAGGCTCAGCGAGGCGGTTTGTTCCTGATCCACGTGGCATCCAGTAGTGCGGTACCTGGGGGTACAGAACCCACACTCGAGCCAGTTTCTCCACTAGCACAGCTTCACCTTATTGCTCCCTGGCCTCTCTCTGTCTCCCCTTGGCATCGTATCCTCCAGCGACTCTGCTTGAACCTTGGGTTTCTCACAGTGTGGTTTCCTGAGGGTGGTCACATTTGTTTACTTGGCAGCTGGCTTGCAAGAACAAGGAATCAAAAGATGCTCGGCCAGTGGAAGGCGACGTCCTCGACTGGCACAGCCTCACTTCTGCTCTGGGTTCTGTTGTTCAAAGCAGTTACAGGTCTCACCAAGATCCAAGGCTGGAGAGAGAGACCACCTCATGATGAGGGAATGTCAAGGTCACATTGCCAAATAGGCATGTGAGATGTGTCTATAAATATTGAATTGACTGTCTATGTATATGGTTGTAAGTGCATTATAAGTGTTACTAATATAAAGAATGTGTATCACACAATTTACAATTAAAAATAAACTATACTTATATGCATATACGCATTACCCATGGACGCAGACATGCCGTGAAGGCCTGGGGGTGAGGAGGAGTGGGGTGGAAGGGGTCAATGGGGGGAAAAGGAGGGCCATCAAACATACTTTCAATAATAAAGATAAACTTTTAAAAATAAACTATACAGCACTTTTTTATAGATTCACATGCCAGTTGATTCTCAAGGAATACCTTCGTTGACTTTTGTCCAACTGCTGTTGAGAATAAGGACTTTGCCTTGTTGTTTTCGAGGCTCCTTGAGTGACATTATCTTCTCGCACATAGTAGACTCTCTATAAATGAAAATGAAAGAATTGTCAGTCACAGTCACAAACTAAAATGTATTTCATTTTTTTAAAGTATCACAACAATGACATTTTATTAAACACTTGCAGTGTCCAAAGCACTTTTAAATATGCTCTTAATTGGATTCTCATAATAGTGTGAGGATTTCTCATGCCCGTTTTCCAGATGAGAAAACAGGTGTTGGTGCAAGGTAACCAGGAAGGGTCACACTGGTATTGAAGGCACGGGCGAGGCTAGAACCCATGACTTCTGATTCCGAGTGGACTGCTTTCCGCTTCTTCACTGAAACTTTAATATTCAGAGGGGACATTTTAAATGAGCATAGAGACAGGATTTTAGGCCACTACCCATGTTAAAATACCTTCTTTTAAGGGAGACTTTTTTTTTAATTAAATTTTTTTTCTTTATTGATTTGAGAGAGAGGAAGGGAGAGGGAGAGATAGAAACATCGATGAGAGAGAACATCAACTGGCCGCCTCCTGCATGCCCCCCACTGGGGATCAGGCCCACAGCCTGGGCATGTGCCCTGACCGGGAATCGAACCAGCAACCTCTTGATGCATGGGTCGACGCTCACCAACAGAGCCACACCAGCCGGGCTAAGGAAGACATTTTGATAGATGTTAATTGGCAATTAGTATAGAGCAGCTTGACTGTTTCCGTTCCGGGTTGTAGGTACCAGGTTTTACAGTGATTAGAACAAAGTATCCTCACTGTTGATCTCACTTGTGCAGGAAGATGTATAGTCTTGTCACAGAGGACTCAGGCCCACAGATATCTTTCTGCTTGCTTCGCCTCTTCCAAAAATCAGCCGCAAGAATTGCTTCTCAAAGAAAAAAAAATGCCTGCATCACTTCCCAGCTCCCCACAGAATCTGCAGGGTCCGAGGAAGGCTGTGACAGCAGGGTTTCCATGTCACATGGAACGGGGCGTTGGGAGAAAATCCCTGTGTTGCAGTGGCAGGGACAGGAGAAAGCCAGGGAGAGGCCTCGGGCTTTCTTCCGTCTTTTTCCTTTTCTGATATTCCTCATTTTCCCACCACTAAGTAGATTTTCTTATCTGTCAGTGAAGTAATTGTCCGTAGTTTGTATTGTCATTCTATGTTTTGGCTGAAGAATCCATTTTTCAAGAGATTATGGAGCTTTTTTTATTACTATTTTAAAATTTACATGAAGAAACTATTCTTTGTAGAAAAATTAGGATATAAAGATAAGCACAGCCCTGGCTGGTTTGGCCCAGTGGTTAGAGTGTCAGCCCACGGACCAGAGAGTCCTGGGTTCGGTTTCCGCTAAGGGCACGTACCTCGGTTGCAGTTTGTCCCCGGCCCTGGTTGGGGTTGTGTGGGTGGCAGCCACTCGATGTGTCTCTCTCACATCAGTGTTTCTCTCTCTCTCTCTCTTCTTCCCTCTCTCCCTCTCGTTCTATCTGAAGGTGGATTCAAAAATGTCCTCGGGTAAGGATTAAAAAAAAAAAAAGATAAGCACAAAGTTGAAACCAAAAACCATTAGCAATCCAGCCACGATTGTTAGTAGATGACTGATGTTAACATGTTGATGAGCATCTCAGCTTTCAACCCGAAGGACATAAGCATCTCTTTAAATCTCAGCATTTACACGGCATGTATTGCGTGTCCGTTAAATAGTCATGGTGATAGCATCTATTTGATATTTCATTTGAGTGGCTTTCATTTTTATTTATTTATTTTTTATCCTCACCCGAGGATATTTTTCCATTTTTTGTACAGATAGAGTGGGAGGGAGAGAGAGGAAGGGAGAGAGAGAGAGAGAAACATCGATGTGAAGAGACACATCGAGTGGCTGCTACCCGCACGACCAACCAGGGCCGGGGACAAACTGCAACCGAAGCACGTGCCCTTAGCGGGAACCGAACCCGGGTCTCTCCGGACCGCAGGCCGACGCTCTAACCGCTGAGCCAAACCGGCCAGGGCTTGAGTGGCTTTTAAATACTGTGCTGAAACTTTTCATTCTCATTGTCTTAACTTTCAATATTAAAGAATAAATAGCAACTGCCTCTCAGCAGCTTTGCGGCATTGTGACTACAGCCATGTCACTGTGTGTGACATTAAATTCAGAGCTTTCCTGGGGAAGGGGGATTGTTCCTCGGATATGTGACTCGTAGATCCGACCTCAGGATGAGTACAGGAAAGGCCCCCGCCCCACCTTGTCAATGACACCTGAGAGAAATCTGTCCCGGTGTTAGTTTGGGTGGACCGTGACGTTACATCTAACATGCCTTTACCTAGTAGAAAGTAGGGATCTCTTTTCCCAAGACATTTCTCAGAAGGTCTGCTTCATGGATGCAGTTTCCACTGAGGAAGTATGTGACCTAAGTAACAACTCTGTGTATCTGTTTTGTTTTTTTTTCTATTTAGGCAGCAATAAGGAAAGAACTAAATGAATTTAAAAGCACAGAAATGGAAGTTCATGAAGAGAGTCGACAGTTTACAAGGTAGGTAGACAAAATCCTGTTCAGCATATGAAAAATGATTAAGATGGTAAATGTTATGTTATGTGCATTTTACCACAATTAATTTTTTTAAATACAGTTTAACATAAGACCATCTAATGAACATTTCTAAAATTAAGTTTTGTTCTTTCCTTTCAAAGAAGTCTGAATCCTCCTACAGGGCTACATTTTGGTTTCTCTTTCTATTTCCTGGGCCACAAGACAAGCACCAGTATCATTTATTTTGCTTTTGAAAAGACTCAGTTGAATTTTTATGCCCAGAACAGATGCCGGTGGGAGCTGGTGCTGGCACTGAGCGTCTGCTTTGGACTCACAGGAGACATACTTAGAGAGGAGAGAAACTCAGTTTTCAGAATATGGGACTTAAAATAGAAATCCAGTTCTACCCTTTTCCTTGCCAGCACCGTTCAGTTTTATAATCCCCAGGTGATCATGTCGCCCGACTCTCTCATTTCACAGGTGTTCTGTGTGTTTCTATCTCACAGGCTTACGTGCTTTGCTCTGTGTAACAGGTGTGTTCCTAAAATTTTGCATGCCGTCCAGATCTTTAAAAATTGAATTGTTAAAAGAAAACATACAAGGACAGATGAATCCATGAAGGCCCCTTTCTGAAATACACGTACCGATCCCCTAGGCTAGAAACAGCCTCTGGAGGGCAGCCACACATCACGGTGCAGTGTTTCCACAGGGTACTGCTGACATGGTGTTCCCGGCTGGGGAGCATGTCACATGACGGAAGCAGGATCCGAGAGCAGACCTCTTCCCTGAAGCATGGGGCTGCCTTGCTCCAGGGCTGCTGCTCCCATAATGGTCATGGCTGGTTGCAGGGGAAACTCCCCTTTTTCTAGGGATATTTCTTGTGTGTTTTGTTTTCTGCAATGTCATGTTTACTGATTTATTATTTGTGTGGGTGAATGCATGTAGGACTTTCAGACATCCTGAATGTATAGGACTTGCTCTGTTTGAAGACTTCATCCCGTCGTAATCCCCACTGAGACCCCTCCCATGCCACACCTCTGTGTCCTCTCGTCCACCACCTTCCACTCTGGAGTCAGGAGAAGGTCATGCTAATATCTGACACCTGTGGTCACATTTCTCTAGTAAAGTTGATCTTCATAAGGTGATATTTATGGTGACATCGAGCTGGCTGGAACCTCCAGGCAGCTGGGAAGGTGGCAGGTTTTTGTGTCATTGAGTCCTGACCCCTGAGATGTACTGACTGCATCGACCCAGTCTTTGTCATTCAGGATAATTTTACTTCTCTGTGGTTTTCCTAGAAATTGTAGTATTTGATCCCCTCATTACATTTGATGGCATTATATAAAGAATAAATTACAGCCCTGGCCGGTTTGGCTCAGCAGTGGAGTGTTGGCCCATGGACCAACGAGTCCTGGGTTCATTTTCTACCAAAGGCACGTACCTCAGTCATGGTTCATCCCCGGCCCTGGTCCAGGTCATGCGGGAGGCAACCTGTCAATGTGTCCCTCTCATGTCAATGTTTCTCTCTCTCCCTTTCTCTCCCTCTCTCTCTCCCACTCTATCTGAAGTTAAATAGAAAAATATCCTCAGGTGAGGATTAAAAAAGAAAAAATAATTAAATTTTTAAAATGCCTTTTATGAAAGTCCTTGTTTTATGAAAAATAGGCATATATACCAAAAGAATTTCTTTCTCTTCTATTGTGTGATATAAACAACTAAAAAGAAAATAGGATGCAGGGGGAAGTAAAGGTCATTTTTTTATATATGTATTTTTAATGTGAACAAATAATATAGTCTAAATAAGCATTCAAACAGTATAAATGTTTATCAAATTAAAATGATAGTTTCCTTCATACCTTCCCCGGTTTCATGCCTATTCTCACCGGTAACCACTGGTGAATGTTTGGTGTAGACATTTTTTTCTGTGCATTTGCAAACATGTATGTGTATGTGCAAATATTGTGTGTGTGTGTGTGTGTGTGTATACACCCATCTGCATATATGTACACCCATTCATTTGAATGACTCTATGGTATTTCATAGATAATATACCATAAATTATTGGACAATTCTATTGATTGATGTTTATGGACTTTTTAGTTTTTCATTTGTAAAATAATGCTGTCTTGACTTTCTTTATAAGTGTATCTTTGTGAACACACACCAGTATTTCTGAATTAGTCCCAGAGTAGATTCGCTAGGTCACTGGGTAAATATTTTTTACATTTTTAAAGATACTATTCTGTGACCTACAGTTTATGAGCAGACCTGGTCTGTTCAGCCTCATCAGCATTTGGGGGTGGTGATGGTGGTGAGGGTCTATATTCTGATGAATGAACTTTAATATCCTATTTCACTGATTTCTGTCAAGTTGAGCATCTTTACATACCTTTATTGACCATTTATTTTTTATTCTTTGATTTGTCTTGATCAGTTTTCTTCGGGTTGCTTATCTTTTTCTTATGGATTAGGAAAAACTCAGATATTATGGATATCCTTCCTTAGTAAAGTTTTCTACACATCACAAGACTTTCCCCCAACTTACTGCTAACATTTTCACTTTTTTACGGACTTCTGTTTAAATGTTTGCATATTTAAATTTGTCTGTATTGTTATTTTTTAATGTATTGTGTATGTCCTATGAAGGAAGGCCAAGATTATAAAAGTTTTACCATTAATTTTCATATATGCTTTAAAAAAACAAAAAACAAACCAGATCGTTCACCCGTTTGGCATCTATTTGGGTGTGTGACTCACTCTGTTCCAAATCCATCATTCCACTGCCACTCACTTCCCCCGGATGTGAAATTCTTCCTTTCACACACCTGTGGGTCAGTCTCCAGATTGTTGTTCTTTTTTTATCCTCACCCAAGGACCGAGGACATTTTTGCATTTATCTTCAGATAGAGTGGGGGAGAGGGAGGGAGGAAGAGAGACAGAGAAACATGAATGTGAGAGACACATCGAGTGGTCGCCATCCACACGACCCCAACCGGGGCCGGGGACAAACTGCAACGGAGGAACGTGCCCTTAGCGGGAACCGAACCCGGGACTCTCCCGTCTGTGGGATGATGCTCTAACCGCTGAGCCAAAATGGCCAGGGCTGTCTCCAGATTCTTTGGTGTGCTCTAGGGAGCTATTGTCTGGTCTTGCACTGTGCCACGCTGTTGAATCAGAATAGGTTTGTAGTATATTTTTATATCTGATAGGGTATTTTCTCACCATGAAAATTCTATTGGCTATTTTTCTGTATTTGCTCATCTACAGAAATTTAAAGTATGCTTGTTGTTCCATAAAACAATCTGTTAATGTCATCATTGTTTAAGTAAATATTAATAGATGCAAATAGGGATGAGCTGCATTTCAAAAGAAAATGATAGACTTGTGTGGGGTAATATCTGATATCAAAGGTAAGCTTTAAAAGTTTCCAAAAAATATATTGATTATTACTCTTTCAAATGTCTTTCCAGATAAGGAAAAACTAAATATTCATATCAATAAGATGGAAATGCCTTGCTGAAGGATTCTTAAAAACTTGGCAGTAAAGCAAATATCTGCTGCTGTTTTTCCATTCATTTTTATTACATCATTAGACCTGCCTTTCAGTACAGAAACATTTTGGCTCTAAGACTTATAAAAAGCATGCATATGATTATCAAATTGTTTTCAGTATTTCTTTTAGGAGGAAAAAGTTTTGGTAAACAGTGCTGTGTTTGATCCAAATAATACAAGTATACGATAGTGTTTGACAATTAGAAAACTGCACCTGTAGAAGACAGTGGTGTTCATAGCACCTGCCGCCCTTGGAGGGAATAAACATGCAGTTGATCATTACCCAGCCTCTTAGATGCAACCTAGATACAGAGCAGCTCACTTGTTAGCTCTTCTTATTAATGTCAGACATTATCTCCTTCCCTCAAGTAAACCTTTCCTTTAAAACCCAAATCTATTAACTCCCGGGGCATTTGGGGGTGTTAAAAGGGTTGAGACAGCCCTGTTCCCTCTCCCAGGCACCTCTTTATCCAGAGATAATCTCCCGCACAGTGATGTATCAGTCAACACTGGAAGGCATCGTTCCCATATGGAGCTTTTTATTTTCGCTTTTGTTTTCCTCAGTAGAGACACAAAGAGCTGATTACATTGATTGCCTCTGGGAGCAGAATTGGGTGTCTAGGAGCAGGTGTGTGGGATTCTTTTCACTACTCACTCTTTGAACCTTCTGAATTTTTGAAACATAAGAATTTATTACCTAGTCAAAAAAAAGTTTAAAAGAAAAAATAAAGGATCTATTCCCTCCTCTTGTTTGTAAAAGGATTTCATTATGATGACTTTTCTTGGGTATGTACTGGTGCTAATATAATTGCGGCACTCTGGCCGTTTGCGTACCAAGAAGGCGCCTTGGAAACCCCCATCGTGAGTACGTTCTGGGACATGTTTGATCTGTAGTGGTGAAGAATTGTCCACTTCTTGGACAAGAAGTGGTGTGATCCACTCTTCCATCTGACTTCCCAAGCTTCTCCCAGTGTTTTTGCAGATAGCCCTCTGGAACTGGGATGCTCTCTGGGGCCATGTAACAAACATGAGGACAAGCAGGCCCTGCGAGGATTCATTCTGTGGCCTGTTAGGTACCAAACCCTAACCTTGGTCCCTTAGCACACTTGCTGCTTATCCGGCCACATCCTGTATTTTCTCCCCACGGCAGCTGTCGGTTCACACCCCTGTTCCAAATCCCAAAGACCGTTCGAAGGGCCAGTGCATTCTGGAAGGACATCACCATGGCAGGGAAAAGATGTCTGCAATTTAAAATAATTATCTAAACTATAAAGGCAAATTCTATGAACGGTCAAACTTTATTTAAAATCTAAAATTTAAAATGGTTACAGCTGAGTATTAAGATTTATGGATAATTCTATTTTTCTTCTGGAAATTGTTTTCTGGTTTGTTTGTTTTTTTTAAGTGTCAATGTGTGTCAGATTTATAATCAAGAGAGTATTATCTTTAAAAACTTTGAGTTTTGTAAATAACATTTTTTAGAGTGTGCAATGTAGTATTTATATTATGGGATATTATGAAAGTCTCGGGAATCAAATTGATACTCTTAGAATAGAAATGGGCCTCAAGGGATCATTGGCATAATGTTAAGAGGAAACATCAAGATACTGACTAGATGTATATGTAGCAGTGGTATGTTTTATTTAAAACTCAGATGCATAGAAAAAAATGAGAAAATGATATAAAAAACTCTTACTAGTTTGTTATAGAGTGGGGCTATGGTTGTTTTTTTCTCTATTCAAATTTTCTTGATGTGGTTATGTTGAGGTGTGTGTGTGTGTGTGTGTGTGTGTGTGTTTAAAGCAATGATCTCATTCTATACCATCTTGTGGTATTACTACTATATTATGTAGATTTACAGATAAAAATAAACTACTCTTTCAGCTTCTAGATATGCTTAATCAAAACATAACATGGCAGCAACTACACATAGGACCAACCTGAACATGAAGAATCCTCCACAGAGGCATGAGAAGGCTGCTTCTGCAGTGGTACTTTCTTTCATGGGTGCTCCATTTACTTGCTACCTGGACAGAAACTTAAAAGAGGTGAAAATGTGCCCGGACGGTGTGGCTCAGTGGTTGAATGTCGGCCCATGCACCAAGAGGTGGCTGGTTTGATTCCCGGTCAGGGCACATGCCCAGGTTGTGGGCCTGATCCCCAGTAGGGGCATGCAGGAGGCAGCCAATCCATGTTCTCTCTCATCGATGTTTCCATCTCTCTCTCCCTCTCCCTTCCTCTCTCTCTAAAATTAATAAAGGAAAAAAAAAATTTTTTAAAGAGCTGCAAAATACTGCTTTAACCACCAGAGTTGAAATCATGGCTCAGCATTCGAAGTAATAGAATCCCACCCAAACTGTGGTCAGTTCTCTCAGGTAGAGAAGGAGCTGTGGTTTGGAAGAACCTCATCCATCTAACATAAGTGTGGTGCTGGGACAATGAAACCCTTTTACATAAAGGGGAAACAGATCACTCAGGAATTCTGTATATACAAATAGGGAAGTATGGGAAAGTTCATATTTTACAGTTGTGAGTAACTTTATTTTTTATATTTTATATTATCTGAATGAATTTACAGGAGTACATTTTTAAAAATAAATTATGGAGGAACCATATGGAAAAGAATTATTTTTTTAATGGAAAAGAATTATTTTTTCCCCGAATTCTATGGCTTAAAAATAGCTTTTCCCCCTACTTACTTCCTCTCAACAATATGAAAATAAGAAAAATATATTGCAATTTTAAGAAGAAAAAGGAAATATAGATAACTTCACATTTGAGGCTCTGGAAAAAAGAGCAGCTGGAAAAACTTAAGTATCCTTAGGGCACGTTAAATGTATTTATTGCTCCATGAGCTTGGAGCCGCAGCCCGGACTCCTGCCCGATAGGCACGTGCCTCAGAAGGCAGAGCTGAACCCAGGTTTCAAAATGAATGCACACCACGAAGTGATAAACTTAAGAACAATTTGCATCTTCAGGTCCTCTAACTTAAAATTATAGAGCCGAATTTGAAGATAAGAAGCCTAATTTAAACCAGATGTAAATGCCCTTTTCTGATTAGATAATGTGAGAAAATTTGAGTGTTTTTTGTTGTATTTTTACCAGATCTGTCAGGCCATATGAAGAGAGGGTGCATTTCTGACCCCCGGCTTTGTGAGCGTGTTATTGCATTCACGTGATTAGTTGGTACCTTCCTCTCAGCCAGCCTCTGAAGCTATGCTGATGGCCTGTGACCTTCCACTCAATCCAGACTGTGGAACTCACTCTCTAACGGAGTCCATGAGCAAAATGTGTGTGCAGGGAAAAAAAAAAACACAGCAAACCTTACAGTGTCCTGCCGAATTTTAGAAATGTTTTTACAGGACACTTTCCAGAAAAATGCTGGGCTTTAGAAGGCTCGAAATCTCTTTGGGTCCCATTTTTAGTTGACCTTCTTCATCCCACAGACATTACGGATGGGAAGAGAACGCCTCCCTTGTCGTGTTTCCCCAAACCTGTCCTTTGAGTCCAGGACCAAACGAATATTAGGATACTGTGGAGCGTTTGGTATATGAAACCCAGCGAACCAGGAGAGGGCTAAAATAGTTACGTTTGTCATTCCTGGAAAAGCCGGACCTGACCGAGAGGGACCTGTGGCAGGTCATGGTGTAGGGACGCTGCAGGGCCGTGTGTCTGTCCACAGGCCCTGCTCCCTCTGTGGGGACAGTGCTGTGGCCCCGCACGGAGGGAGTGCCACCTGCTTCCAACCCAGGCACAGCACTGGACATGCCTTTCCAGTAATTTCAAGAAGTCTGGGGCGGGGGGGCCCAGATATATGAGTTGCCGATATGAGGTTTTAGACTAAAAGCCTTTTTAAAAGGTAGAACATTTAACAAGATAGAAAGTGCCAGGGCAGGTTTACCAGACCAGGTAATCTGTATCCTTGTGCACATGCTCAGTATGTTGCCTGGAGAATGGCTGGGAGGAAATTCCCAGCGGGCATGTGGAAGTTCAGGTGTAGAAAGTAGATTTGGAGTCCTCAGAGGGAGGTGATGAGAGGGATGAAGCTAGTCGTGACTATTTGTTGATGCGTTCCTTGTGTAACTGCGAACCAGGTGCAACCAACACCTTTATGAAACATCTCCCTCTGCTCAATACAGGTTAGAACAGGATCTTCAAGGACAGTGATGTTTTGTGTATCAATTGCTCCACATCCTGGATGCTCTAACCAGTGTCTTCTGTACAGGGGCTGTCTCTGCTTTCCAACGTGACATTTACAGCAGTATTCTGTCATGACAGTAATGTGTAACAGGAATTCAGTTGGGGATGTCAACAACCACCTCTAATTACAGACAGTCCTGTAGCTTATTCAGTTCACCGAATGCAGACCGTGTGGTACCACGGACTCAAGGTTTCCATTTTCTTCTTTCAGGTTTCATCGTCCGTAATGAGGAACGAGACTCTTTGGAAACATAGACTGATCATCTGTGGGGGAAGCTGTGCTTCCCGAGCACCTGAAATTGCACTGGGGTTTGATTGTGTGTGTTTCCATCGAACTGTGGTGACGGAAGTATGTGGAAAGTGCTCCCCACCTATACAGCCCCAGTGTGGCCAACAAGCAGGGGGATATAGTGACCCTGCTGTCCAGCACGTGTGTTGATGGTAAGGGACACAGTGGTGACACCAGTTATTCTTCATCAGGGCTTTTAATCAAAGAAGATGAGCAGAAGACAATCACTGGCCCCCTGTGATCAGAACGCCAAAGTTTAGAGTGTGGGTTAGGGCAAAAATATGGGGAATGGAATGGCTGGGCACTGGAAAGGGGTGGGGGTTGAAAAACAGAAAGAGAAAATTTTCATTATGTTAATGAAAAAAAGAGAAAATTGAAGCATAAATGTATTTTTGAAGTAGGCTTTTGATAGCTGAGAACTTATTAAGGGATTCGGGGATCTAATCACCCACTGTGGAGTCCTTAGAGACCTGGTCCTAGAAGAATATTCTCTCACCATTATGTTGGTACAGTACAGTACCATTATTTTATGTTGTGCCAGTGAATCCAATTGCCACAAATAACTCTGAGTGTTTTCATGCATCTTTTCCTTAAATGCAAGACGCTTTTGTGGACTCTTGACAAGCATGCTTACCCAAATTCTGTTGCATGCTTTAAGTAGCATACCTATAAACACTTTACTTTTTTTTTTAATACTCTTTACCTATTGTACCAACCTTCCACAAGGATAACAGGACTGGGAATAAAGTCAGATGTGATGTGACCCTGTTAATCTGTAGCAAGCTTTAGAAGTAAATCTTTTGGTCTTACCCTAGCTTGATTATCTCCGAAGTCGAAACCACCACGTTTGATCTAAGGAAGATAATAATGACAGTGATATCTTTTTTAAAAAACTGAATCCAAAATTAAAATTTAAGCAAAATGCAAGTGTTCTGCCAGCAGTTAGTTCTGAGTGGGACTGCAAAGGACTACTTCTTTTCAGTGCTGCATTAAGTTGGATTGCTGCTATCACAAAGTTAAAGCACCTGGATCGTAGAAATACTCACCCAAAGACATAAAAGAGCACAGAAAAGTTTGGCTAAAGAGTGGGGAGACTCTCCTTTGGTGTTTTATGAAATCTGTAGGTTGCACTCATAAATATAACACTGACTCTCAGTGTAAAAAATAGGTGACTTTAAAGTTGTGGAAGGTTTCCCTGTGAGCCTACAGTCAGTATTGTTTACATGAAGAAACCCTCTCTTCTCGTCTTGCTATTTTCCATGGAGCCGCAGGCACAGCGTGGCTTCTGCTCCCAGACACACATGACCGTATGTAAATACTACCTTGCATTTTATTGTGTTGTTGTTTTTTTTTCACGACTGTTTTGTGGCCCTTTTATTAAAAACACATGATGGGTATCATAAGACAAAATCTAAATAGACTGAATTTTATTCTCAGAGGTTGGACTAGAATTTTCTGAAATGATTCTGATTCATACTATGGCAGACTATAATTTTCTATTTCAACCAAAAAGCAAACATTTCATCTGGTGGATAAATTTGGATCCTGCCATTTATTGATATTTTAAAGAACCACTTGAAATTGGATGATTTTGCTTAACAGTAAAAAAAAAAAAAAAATGTGGGCCCCAGTTAGTCTATTGCAAAACACCAGTTCCATTCACAGCTAGAAAAGTGGCCAGCATCACCGCTCCTCTTGCTGTGCTGGGCTGCATGGGAAGAAATGTTTCTGCACGCCCGGTGTCCTGCTCTGGCTGAGGGTTAGTCCATTTCACAGTGTTGAAATCCAGCCATAGACATTACCTATGTTCTAATTTTTTGCTGAACTCATCCTCTTCCTTACATTATTTTATTCTCATGGGAAAAATACCAAGGAATGTAATGTTATTTCAATTATCCCTACTTAGGATTTTTGAACATTGTTTTGATTTCTGATTACACGGCCTTGTCTCCATAAAAATGGTAAATGTAAGACATCACTGTTTTATCATTCAATATACATGTCAAAGGAAGTCCCCAGTTAGTTGATAAAAGGAACAGGGTATTTTTCCCTACAGCGGTGCCTGTAATACAATCTTTCATTCCTACAATGAGGTGCTCGCGACCAAAATGAGAGTCCACCGCCTCAGTGTGTGTTTTTTTCTTGTATGATAGGTCGGATTTATGAACTACCCACACCTTTTCTTCATACTAACTTACAAGCTTAGAGAAAAATTTTAAAGTAAAAAAAAAAAAACACAACTGCTGCTAGTCTAATGCATAACAATCGGAACCACCAGTTGCTTCATCAGATTGATTCATTAAATAAAAGGCTGTGGAGAGAGTGGCAGGGTTGTGAACTAAGCCATCTTCTGCAGAAGGGGCTTTATTTTAACAGCTAATTCGAAGAGGCAGAAACACTGCGCGTCCGCCCCACCGCACACCCCAAGTCTCTTGCTTGGTGGCCCTGAAAGGATGCGAAGGTGCAGACCCCCTCCCCCAGTGTAATTACGCCTCTGCCTGAGCATTTCTGCAGTCTCAGCATTTCTATAATGCTGCGGTTCCATAAAGAAAATAAATGTGTATGCATTGCATTGTTGTGACACAGCTCGGCGTTTTTCCCTGTTTACAGTGAGACATTAGGCTGACGTGGGGGAAATGTGTGGACTTTCCTGAGTCCGCAAGATATGATTAACGTAAAAAACAAACCCGTCTCCAGGAAGGTCCCAGGTAGCAAAGAACTGGACAGACGTAAACGGCCGCTTCCGTCCTTCTTCACGTGGAGAGCGGGGACATTAGCGTGAAGGCAGTGGGGACACACAGGCTTATCAGCACCTTCGTGGTCATTACCCGCCAGGCTGACAAATTAGACCTCCGGGGAGCAGCAGTAATTTCAGGGGGCCTCACCTGATCATTTCCTGTGTCTGTGAAATGTCTTGCATTTTGTATGGTTGATGTTGTTCACCCTTAGGTTAATTCCATAAATTATTTCAATGAAATCGATAATAGTCAGAGAACCATTTGGGGAATTTCAATAGCTGTTTTAAATGGAAGAAAAAGGCAAATTCATCTCTCTTTCTGATTTACCCAGAAAAACTGACTTTCTGGTTTCATTTTTATATCCTTTTCTGGCACAATGATTTTTCACTCATCTTTTTCTACGGTTATTAAATATATCCTGTCCATGGAAAGTTCTGAAATTTAAGAGAAGGTCTATTTAAGGAAGTCGAGGAATTGAATACACACTTCAAAAATGATCCGATATTGAAAATGAGAGATACGTCCTTACCACCCATAATTTGGGTTTTACACACTGCAGTTAATTCAGTGCTGCACCAGCACTTGAAAAAAGACAGTAGCTTACACTTATAAGAGAGAAAAATCTGCATGAACACGTCTATGCTGATAAGAACCACACTTGAACACATAACAGGCATCGTATTTCTACTTAATGGAGTCAGATGCGACTTTGGAAAATCAAACTGTATCCACAATAGAGAAAAGCAGTCTTGTCCACCGCATAGTGGCATGCCCACATTTAAACAGGGAAAGTTTCTTTTCTTGCTTTCTTGCTCAACATTTTCTTCAGTGTTCCTCTTCAAGTGGTCCCAGTAGCACATTTCAGAGTGAGAAATCTCTTTCAGAAGAGATGAGAGGGACTCAAACTCATGCAAGACATATAAATGTATGTTTTTTCAGCAGTAGGGTGGCTCAAGCACTCCTAAATTTCAGCCATATTTTAAACCTAACCTTACTAAATTAACTAAAATGAACAAAAATGGATTTCTTCGCATCATTAGAGTATGCTGCGAACACTAAGGAGCCACTCGGATGCAATTTGTTACAAAGCCATCTCTTGGCCCCTTGAAATTGTTCATCTTCCACTATTGAGTGTTTGCTCTGTACTTGTGGGTGGGCTGTATCACTTTGTTTTATTCGACAAAGCAGACTAAACTTCTAGACTGAAATGTGTCCTAAAGCGGGGAAGTAACCGTCAAATTAATAGGACCATCTTTCTGAGAGAAAGCACATCTCCAGACAGTTCAAACCCAAGTTTGTGGGGCTCTACTATAATCCAGCAAAGGGCGGCGGGAACAAAGGTAGAATACTCCCAAACCATCTCTCTCTTGTTTTTTTTATTTTTTATAACCATTACACTTTAGCTCTGTATGGAAATGTGCACCACCATTACTGTTTCTAGAAAACAACAGAAACGTAGTCCACTTAAGCTTTTTCAAAGACAGGATCATCCCAAATTAACAAAGCCCATTGTATATGCTGTAAGATTTCGGGGATGGGGAGGAGAATCCTGTAACAGTTATTCCCACCAAAAGCCAACCTATAGGCAAGGGTCATTTTTAGCCATGCCAGGATCTGCTGTACACACACACACACACACACACGAGTCATTTTGCTTGTTGCATTGCTAGCACAGCTGTGCACTTGAGCAAAGCACTGTGGATTGATGTTTCTCAGTGGGGATGCTGTTGGCATTTGGAGCTGGGCAATTCTTTGTCGTACAGAGGTGTCCCACACGTTGTAAGCTGTTTACTATCCCAGGCCCCTGCTGACTAATTGCTAGTATCGTGCCCAGTCACTGTAAACCAAACATAAAAGCCCTCCTCCGTGTTCAAATGGCCTCGTAGGAAGGCGATTGCCCGCCCTTGAATACCACTATCTACTGCAGTTTAGGGCGCACAGGAAGACCTGTCTGTCTCCAAACATCATCTTGGCTGCCTTGCATTTCTTTGGGCCCTGTATCATTTCATCCCCCTTCGTTTTTCAAACCTTCTGATTTATCCAGCTTTAACTTGCCAGTCCTTCAGGGAGATGACTGGGCAGCCGTGCAGTTCTAAGGGCATATTTACTTGAGTAGTCCCTGAACATGCTGAAAGGGCAGATTTCACGTGAAGCACACTTTTTCTGACCTCACAATTTTACTTCAGAACTACACTGTTGCTCATCGTCCTCGTCAGGGTCATGAGGATCGTTGCATGGCTTAACCACAAACATGATGGCTGACCATCCACATAAACAAAACCTGTGGTCTGGGAACATCACCATTAGATTTGACCTGGGAAGCTGTGTCCCATGAGTTCTAAATAATCACCTGTTCATCCTATTAAAGCAGCATTGACTCCACATTTGAATCTCCCCTGTATACATGTAGTCATGTGGTTCAGCTTTTCTAAAATTTGTGAACATTGAATTATGAAGGAAGTGTGGATTAACTGTGGGTCGCATGAACATTGTTTATACTTCAGTGATGATCGTGTCCAAAGCAGTATGAGTTTTATCTAGATGAAACATTATTACTATACTGTACTACCAATACCTAAATATACTTACTCTCTTTGTTGCTTTCTATGACCAAACCTGAATGGTAAATGTGTCCTGAAATGATTTGGATGAATTCTGGCTAATAGAATGGAATTAATTTAGCCACTACACTTTTTTTAAATATTCAGATTTCGAAAAAATCTTTTTTTCAGAAAGAGGGACTCAGAGTTGATAACGGTGAACTTTTAGATGGTGCTTAAGAATTAATTCGTATCTTGTTGAATACCAGTATTTTTTTTTTTTAAGAATAAATTGAAGGGAGTACATGAGGCAGAATGCCACTCCACCCTCAGGTCAATTTTATGGTATATTAAAATGCCAATAATATTTGTGCCACTTGCCAATTGGAGGGGGGCGGGGGGCGGCTTTTCCCTTACTGGATGCTTTTGTTATAGTTTTACTATTACCATTAAGTTGCTCAGAGAGCTTCCACAAGGAAAAGTCACCATTGCAATGCTAACAAGGGTTCGAAAACAATCTGCATGAATCTAGGGTCAAACCACTTTCGTTACTTAAAATATAGGCACTCATATTTTTATATATTTTTCAATATTCTGTGGCTTAGAAATGTGCCAATGTGTTCATGACATTCTGAACCAGTTTCACCAGATTTAGTACCTAACAAAAACTCAAGCTAGTCATTTTTTTTGTCTCTGTGATAGTCACTTTTAAATAAAGAACTATATTTGTTCTTTTGTTACTTCAAGCTTTGGTTAGAGTGATAAGGGTGGTAAGCTGTGATCACGGTCAGACTGACGGACTGATTCCTGGTTTCCAGTGAGTGAGCTGACCCTATGTATTGCACAGGTATACTGTCTGTGAGTGTAAATAACTGGAACTGGACACCGGTTAACATGACAGTTTTTCTTTTTTGTTGCTATTGTTCTTGATCTGTACTGTATTATAGTATGTGGGTATAAATATCTCCAAGTATACACACATATGTATATGTATTCCACTATCGTAACCCGAAAAAAAGACTATGTATTATCTTTTTTATTCTGTACTGGTGTTTGTGTTATTTAAAAAGCAAAATTATGCTCTATTTAGTTGTATTATATTATACCTTGCTGTGCACAATTCCAAGTGCCTTAGAACATTGTTTAGCTTTCTTAAGTATATAAAAATGCATATATGTATAAAATTGGGAAAAGTTACCTCAATAAAATCATTGGGAAATCCCCAGCTTTTGTTTGTTCCGATTTCTGTTGTATTCAGACAGGGCTCAGTCCTCTTAAGTTAAAGGCTCGCAGAATTCTTACCTGTCCAGCAAGACTAAGACAGCTTTCCTAATTGCCTGTTATTTCAACTCGGCCTAACTGGAGATGTTTTGTATGTAAGGCCTTGTGATTTGTATTTTTTTATTTAAAATATCTGTCTGCCCGGGCCGTTTTGGCTCGGTGGTTAGAGTATTGCCCTGTGGTCCAGAGAGACCTGGGTTCGGTTCCCACTAAGGGCTTGTACCTCGGTTGTAGTTTGTCCCCAGCCCCGGTGGGGGTAATGTGGGTGACAGCCAGTTGGTGTGTCTCTCTCACATCGATGTTTCTCTGTCTCTCTCTTCCTCCCTCTTTCCCTCCTGCTCTATCTGAAATGCAAAAATGTCCTCGCCGGCAGCCAGTCCATGTGTCTCTCTCACATCGATGTTTCTGTCTCTCTTCCTCCCTCTTTCCCTCCTGCTCTATCTGAAATGCAAAAATGTCCTCGGTGAGGATAAAAAAAAAAATTAAATTAAATTAAAATAAAATATCTGTCTAAGAGTTGCAACTTTAAACAGCAGTTTACAGTATATTTTTTAAATATGCTTTCTTTTTATATCTGAGGATATTTTAAATTGATGTTTTTATGAACATTACTATGTACAGAAATGAAAGGTAGGCCCTTTAGAGTTTTTTAATATAGAAAATAAGCTAACTTCCTCATTAT